GTGGTACTCTACAACTTAGTTTGACTCCTTCCATTTGGGCTACAGATATAGACAGTTCCATGATTACTGGAAGCAAATTATACATTTGTGTATCTAGTGTAAGATGCATATGTATGTACATGTATATACATACACTAAATGCCAAGCTAAAGGATGCCTGCATGTTGCTTACTAAACTAAATACAGATGAGGGTTTAGCTAGGAGTCACCCAAGCTTATTAAACTTGCTGCAGTTAACACTCCTCGAATTGGGTGGGAGTGCTGGCTAGATGGAAAACAATTTGGTGTGGAACAGCAGCAGGGCAGTGTGTTATTCTGCTTGAATGATGCTGTTTAAGAATCTGTCCTCCACAGTATTTCCAGCAAAGGTAACAAAGCTGTTCTGGAGATGAAGACTCAGAATGTATTTTGGGAGTGCAGTGATGCTATAATTTGGTTTCCCTTCTAGAGTGGGAAGAGCGGAGGTTCTGGAAATGTGAGTGGTAAAAGGCTGGAAGAACCACGGTGTTGAGTCAGAAAAGGGGAGATGTCACATTCTTTGAATTCATACATAGATAGGGAATTGTTTGTTACCACTGCTCATGATAAATGGATTAAAAAGTCATGGGTTTCAACTACAAGGGTCAATGAAATTAGGAAAAGCTTTCTAGTGATAAGAAATAGAAAGAAAAAAATGGATTGCCTGAGGATGTGATGCCTCCCTCTATTGTTAAAGATCTTCGGTGGAGGGTTACAGAAAAACATTTCAGAAATGACATTGATAGAGCTGATCCTTCCTTTTGGCACAGGGATGGGCAGGATGATCCTTTGAGGTCCCTTCTGCCCTTGTGGGTATGCGATGCACAATTTCTATCTCGTGCTTGCACCAAGGCAAACAAACAGCCCTGTACTTGATGCAGAACCCTGGTGGCTCTGAAACAAAGCCAAATCTCTGGGGAAGCTGTATTATGCACAATATTTTCATTATGACTAATGCATGTGTTTTTTGGTGCTTTTTTCAGTCAAAAGGTCAGTATTTTAGTTCTTCAAAATTTTTCTGCTTGTGACATTACGCTAGTTCTATTCCCTCTACACTTTCTACCAGAGGACTATAGCAGCCAAGGACAATTAACTTTTTCTCTGGAGTTTAACTGGCTAACATTTTTGTTGCCTGGGGCAGCTCTGATGATTGAATTTGATAAATCAAGAACTGTTTCCAAGCCAGTTTTTGTTAATTTCAGTGTTTAAAAGTAGTGTCCGGTGTTGTGCTTATCTCTGGAGTACTTGCCCAGATATTTCCCAGTACAGCTTTAACAACAGTATATTTTTTTCCTTTCCTTTAAATAAGCACAGAAAATCCACGTGGCTAAAACACAGAATAGGAAACGAAGCCAAACTGGCAGAAGCAGTTTTGCGTTTATGCCCAGCAATTTTATACATTCTTTAGGAGCAGGGAAAAAGAGGGGAAATACGTTTGTCAAAGTGAAAGCTGTGTTTCTGCTGCAAGAACTCCAAGGGCAGTTGAACAAACAGTTCCAAGGTTCACGATAATGACTATCTGTAATTTAAGGCTGGCACAACATCAGGTAGGATACTCTGTTTTGCTGCCTAGGTGATGATAATCCACAAAAACCAGTCCTGTGGCTTTCAAATCACTAGCTGCAGGTTCTTGCTATGCAGCTGTCTGTGTTATCCATAAGGCATGCTCATATCTTACTAGCAAGTGAACTTGTTTGTAAATTGTAGTTTGAAACAAATAAAATCAGTATGTATAAAGTGATGTTCCATTAACAGCTCCTGTTGATATCATCTAGTTTAAGGCAGAAAAGTTTCTGAAAACGCCCTGGGTTTCACCTAGATTTGTAGTATTCTTGTGGGTATGGCTGCAAAGAATTAAAAACATCTAGAGTCTTCTGAGAGATGTTCTAAAGCAGAAGAAATTCTTCTTGCACAATAAAAGATAACCAAAATGACAAAGTAATTAGCTGTATCTGCCTCCTTTACTCCTTAGTTTTCACTTATTTCTGTGTTAGAGCCCAGGTCTAATGAACTGTGGGTACTGCTAGCTAGCTAGTACAACATCTTATTCGTATTAAGTGTTAAAAAATCCAGAATGAAAGTTCCTTGCATTGTGTTTGCACCTCCGTAACTTTCCTGGTGTAAAAGATGATGAAGAAATTGCACTTCAGTTGTTGACTCAGAGAAGACACAATGGTTTACCGGATCACGCCACCCTTTTGTGCTGGCTAGGCTCTGGTCCTCAGGAAACGCTCCAGAAAAGATCAAAAATTAAACTCTCTTCAACGCACGGAGTGGAAATCATTTGGGAATAAGCCCAGCTTGCTACAGGTGTAGTCTCTTGGCAAAGACAGCTCTATGCCTTACGAGCTCCAAACCCAGGTCACAAAAGTAAATAAATAAATAAAACTGATAAAAAGGTTATTAGGTTAGAATAAAAAAAAAAAAAGAAAAACAATTATTCATGTCTGTGTTTCTGTGGTGTTTGTTTAGTTTGAATCTTTTGCATGCTCTTAAGAAGACCTTTGGATTTTTGAGGAACCAGCCAACTCAGAGTTTCCTTTTCCAGTTTCTGTCAATAAAGCCATGGAGCTTTAATGTGACAATGCAAAGTTACTCAGACAGTTGGAAAATATTGACAGATAATGTTATCCAAGTCCTCTTCCTCAGTTTCAGTCAGAAGTCAGAAAATTATGCGTACAGCTAAGGAAAGGAAGAGGCAGGAGGTGAGGTGACATCCAGGAGCAGTTTGTAGGTTCTCAGAATCGCATTCTTCCATCGATACTCTGGTGGAAACAACAAAACATCTCCAAATCCATGTACCTGCCAGCTGTACATCCCAGCACGGTCAGCTTAGAGAACAGCAGGGAAGGACAATCAGGATTTCTTCTTTTATCCCAAAGCCAATCTTAATAGCTTCTACATGTAATCTGATTCCTAACTAAGCAAAAGGGAGCAACAAATAAATATTTTAGGATTTGTTTATGTTATTCTCAAGATTGCTCCTATCCTCCTGTTGGCAGTGAATCAGAAACATGCTTGCAGAATTACTATTAATCCCTTGGCACAGCTGGTACTACTGTTACTAGGTAATTTTGCTGGGGCTTCCCATTCCTGTGCTGGCACTGCTGGCTGGAGATACGGCTGCTTTCTCTGTGGAGAACCGTGGAAGCGTCTGAATGTATGTCTCGTGGGAGGTCTGGTTCATTTTCTCTTGTTTTTCTGTACTTTCCCAAAATCATTAGGATTTTGCCCCATGATTCACTGAAATTCTGGAACCAACTCAGTTCAGCACCCAAAAGTCTTTACATATGGGATAAATGAGTGTCCTAATGCTGAGGGGTCAGCCTGAAATCTTAAGTCTGTTATTGACATTACGCCCCAAAGGCTCCAGACAGTTTGGCAAGAAATTAAAATAACAACAACAGAAACCATGCTGCTGCAGAAGACATTAATGGAAGAAAAAAAAATAATAATAATAAAAAAAAGGAACAAAAAGGCCAGGATAAGTCATGAAAGGTGGTTTTGTGTTCTTCATATGCTGTTTCTCACATTGCAGCTTTGTTTACTCTACAAAAATAATTAAATACTGATATTGGGTGCCACTAATCAGCCCAGATGAAAGCAGTTTAGCTGATGAATGGTGTGTGATAGTGTTGCAGAACTTGGTCAAAGAACCTAGTCCAAGCAGAGCCTGAGATAGAGAATAACATCATACAAAGGTCATGATGCTAAGACTTTAAAAAAGACAGAATTTTACAAAGAGCAGAGAGAAACAAAGCAGACGCAGAGCTTTTATTTCACGTAAGAGGGTAGGATAAGGGATCCATTCCAGTTTCCCAGCAGTGGTGAACTGGAAATCACCCCTGTGTGCAAAGGAAGGCGCAGATTCCTCCTGCTGTCCGTCCTCCCACCTCCCAAAGCCTCCTGCCCAAACCACAGGGACTCATCCCCAGATGGAGACACATTGAAATACCGTGCTCTGATCTCAAGAAAGGTTTAGGGGGTGCTTGTCCTCTTCAGACCATGAACGATTACAGTGTGCCAGAACACTAACCTGCTGGAGTTTTTTTTCCTGCCTGCAGCTAAGCAGAGATTAACACGACCAAAGCTGTTTATTTTGGAAAGGGGAGTGCAAGAGGGGAGTACAGCAAGAAGACAAATTTAAATGTTGCTATTTGCACCAAAAAACAATAGGTCTCTACTACTATTTAAGGGGAAAAAAACTTAATTGCTAAACATTTTTAAGGTACTGCCACAAGATTTAATGGGAAAGTAAAAATCACTTTCGATACACATCTGTTTGCAATTGCAGTACCTGAACTATCCTTGAGATGGTGCAAATGGCACGCTGCTGGCTGATTGCTGCTATCATTAAGGGAACAGAAGGAAAAAAAAAAAAAAAAGAATACGCTAATTATAACCCTAGGATTTTCATTTTCAATATATATATATATTTTCCACTTAATTGTCTGGAACACATCTCTGAAAAGCAGAGCTAACAATCAGCTACTCTTACTTGTTCCCATTCCGTTTTTCTACTTTCTTTTTCAAATCTGCCACCTAAAGTACGGCAGTATTTCACTGACCTGCTATTCGTGGCTTTTTATAAACAAATTGTGAAGTTTCGGAATGAAGAACTCCTGGGTGAAAGAAGCAGGTGAAAAAGCTTGTGTCAGAGGTGAGATAGGCTGAGGAGCAGCAGGAAGAAAGGGAAGTACTTGTTGATTTTACTGAAGTAGGAAAACACTTTTTAAAGAATTTGTGCTTAACGTTTCAAAACAAAACTAAACTTATTTCTTCATTTAAAAAAATAATGTAAGTGCTCAGAAAGAACATTACTCTTTCCAAGCCCCTTTGCTGTGCTAATATCCCTATTGGTACACAATCTGCAGAGCCACCTGCAAACTTGTAATTTACTGACTCCCTCAAAACTTCAGTCCCATTTGTCAGCCCCTTCATCATCACCGTCCTGTTATTTATAGCTGTAATAACAGGCAGCAAAGCTGGCCCTTACCAGAACAGCCTCCCTCACTCTCCCTCTGCCTTCATTGGATCCTGTTCTTTTGAAGCGATCGGAAGGCACAAATGTAGCCACCCACCTCTAGGAGAAAAACTGAGCTGCAGCCCTGGTGAAACATAAAGTTTATTTGACTAAAGTGACGCAAAAATTCTTAAAGAGCTCTTTGGCAGCAGATTATCTGGAAATCAGACCATGTGAGGGGGACTGGTGTACAAAAACCTCCCCAAGATGCTGAGTTGCCCACAGGCTGCGTTCCCCAGCCGCTGCAGTAAATGTGGGTGAAGGTTCCTCCAGCTTGGATAACTCCAGGGAAAGCACTTCCAACCCGGCCGAAAGACAGGTAATGAAAGACTTTATGATTTTGTTTTTTCCACACGCAGCTGCCTAAAGTACTTTGTGAAATCCAGAGGGACTCCTGGAAGGCTGAACCTGCCTCCCGAAGCAAGCAGACACCAGAGCTTCCTTAACTTCTCCTTGCCTCTTTCAACTTTGGCTGTAAAGCCCGAAATGCTGATGACACTTTCAATCCTATAAATGTATTAATTGCTTCATTTTAACTTAACTTTTAAGGTCTTAGAATGATTTCGAAAACACTGGGGAAAAAGTACATCTAGCAAAGCTTTGGAAAACAAAAACAACACAGTGATGTATTAATTTTTGGTGAAAGTTTCCTTTGTCTTTTTTTTATTACTTTATATTTTTTATGCTTTTGTTTGCTTTTCAGCTGTTATATGCCTTTCTCTGCCTCGTTCAGGCACTTGTCCAGCAATTATGAATGTTGGGAGTCAAATGCCTGTAGCTGAACATGTTGTGACAGTCTGAAATATCGGAGTCTTGGCAGTCCGCATAATTGCATTATTAAAGCAGGGTTTATATAAAGTTTACCAAAATTAAAATGAACTATAATGAAAAATGAAGAAAAGCACCAGAATCTGAAGAAAATAAAAAAAAATCATTGCAAAACATTTACTTTAAAATGGTAAACTTTATTAACCAAATTAAATTGTATTTTAATAGGTAAACTGTGCCAGCACAGTAAATTATCTAGCTCAATGGGACAGGTTTATTGTGAGTAGTAAATCTGTACATAAATATACGTACAGTCAATCATGTTTACTGCTGAAACTGGCTTGCTGGGTCAGTCCAAGTCAGACAGAAGTTGAAGTGAGGAATGCAATGTAACCGAACATATAAATAGTCACTTTTTGTTGTGTCAAGGGAGCCTGGGAAGGAGAGGACAGTGCATTTAATGCCTCTGGTTGCACTGGAGGTTTGTGACATTTTTAAAATGTGGGCTGCAGGCTGTCAGGCATTTTAACAGGAAGGCTCTCATGCAGCTAGGCGTCATCTTCTGTGCTTTTGATGAGTGAATTGATCATAATTGTCCTGGAGAGTACTTCAGGAACTTGGCAGGAGACCGCTGTGGGACTGTTTGGTAACCGAACAGGGTGGTGAATTTCAAATGATTCTACAAATTAACAAAAACTGACTCCAAACTGGAAATTTATTAAAAACCCTAAGCTATTCCCACACATGGAAATGTGCAGTGCATTTAGGTTCTTTCCTGTTTCCGTCCTAGGAACTATAAACTGCTGAGGTTTCATTAGAAACAGCGTTAGAAGCTGAAAGAAACGTTCGCTCTGAACCCCAGGGTCCCATCTCACGCTCACATTTTAACTCTTTCCCAAAACCGAGTTCCCGCAGCTCTGTTGAGCTGGCAATTCATGGCTTAGAGAAGTGATACGACATAAGGGAGCCATCCACGGGATAAGTGTTTCCCCAAGTACTTAGGTAGAGCTGGGAGCCTGAACAAAGGGGCTGTGTCTTGGAGACAGCCAGGAGCAAGTGTCCTTCAGTGAAACATCATCTGGTGACCGTTTCTTTGCTTTTTTCACACAAAACCATTCCAACGCTAAGTGTGTGTATGCCAGCACGTATGTGCAGCCGGTCTGTGACTTGAGTGTGCAAACAGGTCTTTTACTTGAAGCACTGTGCAGATTAACGTCCCTGGGCAGTTATATCACGGAGCAGTGCCCTGTTCCTTTGGTGACATTTGCTGTTTTACAGCCCTTCCTCCAAGCCGATATAAATAATTCGAGGAAGACTACAAAAGGAATATCATTCCCTCCACGCTTATCTGTTTCCTTGCACTCCATGTGGACGCTCTCAAGCCAATAAAATGCATTTTCCTCCCCTCTCTGCTCTTTAAATAACTGTCCTCAGCTTGGCAGCATTCCCACCCCTACACCGCACCTCTCTTCTCCACACTTTCCTCCAGGTAAAATCTCCCTTTTCTGCTGACTCTTGAATTTCAGCCCGAAACACGGGCAGGTGATGCTGTAAGCCTCACAGTACAAGTTGATATTCCCCCAGTACAATAGTTTCCAGAACTATTTTCACATCTTACCTATACAAAGCCTTATCTGGGCACACACGAGTTAACCGGAGAGCTCACTCCTTGGGCTGCTCCTGCCTAAGCAGCCTTTTATTCCCCAGAAGGGTCCTTGTCTCAGGGGGACTGCTGGTTGAGTACAGTTCTACTTTCCTTTAATGGGAATGGGAGCCAGCCCTTGGAGGAGTGCAAATATTCATATACAGGCCCAGTTTGCTACCTCCATGCTGTAAATTTATTTTAAAATACACATTCCAGTGATGTGCAGAAGTGCTCAGTCCAGTTCCATTTCAGATCACTGGGATCAGACCTGCGATGTATGGAAAAAAATTCACCAGACCCATTAATTTCAGTGTGTTTTGATCATTCCTTATCCCAAATCAGTTTTGATTCTTTTAAAACAGACTAGAGAAGCAAGCAAAAAAAGAAAAAAGAAGCACCTGAAGAGATCATTTCTCAGTTGTTGTTCTTTACACGTGGGCTTAGGTCTGCTTTGCACATAACACCTATGCATCATCTTATTATGTATTAATGAAGAGCAGTTTTTAAAACCCAAAACACAATCTGTCACACTTCCTATCAGCTCACCTCATGGAAACAAGTTAACAGAAAAGGATGATCTTGGTACTCCTTTATTTTTGATGAAATAAGTACACGTGGAAAAAAGCATAAGTCATTATTTTTTTGAGTTATGAACTCTAAATGTGACTCATCAATGACAATCCAGGTAAAATTCGTTGCTATGTAGTGCAGTCTAGTTTCAAGATTTAAATAGCCAATATTTTTTTTTTTCCTTACTTTTTTTCTTTTCTAACAGCTCCCTAGACTACAGAAGCATTTAAGCTATCCTGTAATAATTTTGATTAAAGGGTTACTCCCAGCCTGTGGAAAATCAGGATCGATATGAAGCCTCTATACCCTTCCACGCCACACAGGCAGCCCAACAGGCACTCCCTGACCCCCAAGAGCACAGGAAAGGGATCAATTTCTACAATTTTTCAAAGGATCGATTTTCTACAATTTCTGCCATCCCAGTCACAAACCTCCCCACGCAAAAAGGCAGAGTAGGGCCGGCGACAAACAAGACAGCCTTTTTCTGGAGGGATACCTGGCTTCTCTCATCACACAAACCACTTGTATGATTTTCTAGACAAAAGGTTTCCTTGGGCTCCTTCCTTCTGTGTGCAACTGCCTGTGTGACCTGCGACTTCACGGCAGGGTGTAACGTGCACTGCAGCAGTTACACGATCACAACGCCCGTCAGTGCTGGGTGATGGCAGTGAGATGTAGGTCAAGTTAGCAGAAATCATCTCAACGTTCAATGCTGTTTGCCAACAGCATAGATTAACGTTTTGTCCTAGGGTTCCAAGCCGTTTAATTTTTTGCAGGTGCTAGCATGAAACTGGCCAGAAACAGTGCAGCTGGAGCGCTGGCACTGGTGGCAAGAGGGGGAGCTTCACCACGGGAGCGCAGCTGCAACCCAGGCGGTGGCTGGTACTCCAGCAAGCCCTGCCTTAAATAATTAGCACATTAAAAAGGAAAATAATTTGTTCCAAGCGACATGTATGCAAATACACGTTTGCAAATCACAGTGTATTTGATCACTGGGAGGCCAGTAACGATTTCTGCAGCGGTGCAGAGTCAGCCTGAAGAAGCCTGGTGCTGCCTGCCACCGATGTGTTCACCAGGTGACACCAAGGTTTGCCTCCCTTGGAGCATCTGGTATTTGCTGCACCTCAGCCTGATTGTTTTAGTCCCATATCAATCATTAAATTTCAGTTTTCTCCTTTAAAAATACAGAGGAAAGGAAAATCATTTTGTGTTAAAGTGCTGGGAAGATTTATGCTGTAGATTTATTACATGGCAGCGCATTAAAGGAAAGGGATTCCCACATTGCCACGAGAGGTCACTGCATGCCTCCAGAAATAAAACAAGGCAATGAGAAACCAACTCTGAGGCTCCCTGCTCGGAAAGGAACTGGACCCCAGGCCAGGGATGCTCCTCTAGGACTGCTCTGGTAGAGGCAAAGGAATTGGGTTTGTGCAGCTACAGGGCTGGCTGAAATTCAGCTCTGTGTAGGAGTAACCAAAAATTATCGTGTATTTAATACAAACCCCAAGAAGCACACGGCTTGGGTTCTCCATCCCAGTGCTCCCATCAGGCGAGGCAGAGCTGGGAGCCCAGGGCAGAGCTGTGGCTCTCCTGGCACAAGGAGGGGGCAGCACAGCTGGCAGCACAGGGGACAGCTGCCCACAGGACACCAGAGGGAGAAAAGACTCAGGCATGAAGCGTCTCCAAAAGAGCAAGGTCACATCAAAAAAAAAAAAAAAAAGAAAAAAGAAAAAAGAAAAAAGGTAAAGCCAAAAAGAGTAAAGTCACACTTACAAAACAAAAAAAGGCACAGCCTTCTTTCCTTTTTCTTTTTTTTCCCCCTTTTTTCTTTTTATCTTTAGCTAAGTAGGTTGGTGATAAGAAGCCAAGATGAATTTATGTAAGAGCAACCTTTGCAACAGCTCAGATCAAAAATCTGTACTAAATTGCCATTCCTTACATCATTTGCTAAAGGCGTGTATCACTGGGTCCTGCAGGGAGATGGGCACGTGTAATTAAGCGGAGGCTGGGCTGGGCAAAATCCTTCACTAATAGCGTAATTTTCTCCTGGTGATTGTCCCTAATAATTCTAGAGTATTTCTCAACTCCAAGAGCTCTATTTTGGCCATTGTTGCCACTGTTTGTAGCAGTTGCAATTCCTTCAGACATTTTTTTCTTGAATTATACCAAGAGAAAAAAAAAAAGTACATTCTCCTGATTTATTTTTTTAACTGGATAATGAAATCTTATGGGTCTGTTTTCATGTGCCAACTCTCCTTCTGTGAACATGACCGCATAGCTCTGGAGTCTCACTCTGGAGATTTCCCATGGTAGCTGACGAGCTGTAATTCACTTTCAGAAAGAAAGAGTTGAAATTCCAGCTAAAGCCCCTCAAAGTTCACAAGTCATTACGCATATTTGAGGCTCAAACTACTGAAAATTCTACCTACTTATGTAAAGTGATGTGATATTCCTTTCCTGTGGTCTGCAAATGGAGCTTAGATTTGGGTAAGGACCTTGTCACAGATCCAGGAAACCAACAACATCTTCAACAATCTTTCCTCGGGAGGAATGTGCCAAGAAGTGTCTATGTGCGGAAGCAAAACGTTTTATAAATACAGTAAATGCTTAATTCTCAGGTGTGGAAAATTCAGTCTCACAAGATTATGAAGTTAAATCAACATCCTTTACTGCTTTCCCACTTATGAGTAAGAGGTATAAAGTCCAGAAGGGCTCAGGTTACTTTTCCATATTACACTTAAGTCTTACACTTAACATGCTCTATCCACGATGGAGAGAAGGATTGGCCGTGGCTTTTCCTAGGATTTTCATGTTCCTACCAGTGGCAGTAGAGCTGTTTTCATCTGCACAAGCTCTTTTGGGACATGTGGAAGGTTTCGGACTCCAAAGACACTCAGGTTTTATAGTCTTGCAGGTAAAACAGAAATTGCTCTTCTTTGCCATAGTATTTTTCTCTGGAATCCTGAAGATGTTTCGGTCTTTGTAGATGATTAACTAATAGTAGCAAAGTGCTGCAATTGTAGGAATTACGCATTGATATGCACTGCTTGCTGTGTGATGAGAATATTATCAGGGTGAGCACAGAAAGTAAGCAGGAACAAACGAGGGGCTTCTGGAAGTTACAAAAATACCTTCGAGGAACTTCTTGCTAAAGAACATCCCCTGCAACTCGATAACTTTCCTTCTGCTTGCTTGTTTAGGAAGAGGCTTAGTAAACTGTCTTTTTACAAGACTGAATGCTGGCAAAAGACATGAGTTTTAATAGCTCCGGCAATGAGCAACCTCTAGCAATGAGCAATAATATACCCTTGCTGCTCTAGATCTCCCAGCAGCTGAAAGTGAAATAATGCTAATCCTTGCGCTCAGGATGTTGCACTGGTAGCTACTGCGGTACAAAATGCTTTGAAAAGGGAAAATGAGTTGTAATTATCATCATTTAGTATGTGGGGGTATCACGGATTGTTCGACACTTTGCTAGCCATAGAGCAAGGTCAGTGCATGTGCAGCACCAAGGATCTGCTCCTATTCTGACGTTTCATTGAGTAAGGGCAGCTGGGCATTCACACTACCTAACAAACGAGCAGAAAACAGAACGAGACACGGGGAATCAGTCCTTTTTCTGTTATTTTTATATTCTCCAGGAAAAGTTAATCGCTTTATTCTATTTCTGAATGGCTTGTTTCCCCTGGATTCCTCATGTAAAGCCAGGGAGTTGCTCAGTGCAGGGTTTTTGCTGGCAGCACAGTCCCTTAGGAGCAGCACCAAGTGCCCTTCCCAGGGCTGGAACCACGGCGTGAGCAGAGCCAAAGAGAGTGAGAGATGCCTTTATTTCTCCAAGGAGTTAAACAAAATGGGAGACAAGTTTTAGTGTTTAAAAGTAAACCCCGATGCTAGTTGTTACTGACTCAAAACGATCAAACTGAAGTCTCCTGATCTTTTTCCTTGTTATTAGAACTGACTGAACGTTAAAAGTTAGTTAGATGCAAAAGCACTGGCATTTAAATACTTTTCTAAACTTTCATTTAAGCCTTCCAGATCTGCTTCTAAACGTGGCAGACACAGTGGGATTTCTAAAGAAATATGGTCATAAAACATAACTTGTATATCCATTGTTATCTAAGTATTTGTTTAATTAATTCTGCTCTCTTAATACTGGATGAATCTAGAAATTAATGGTAGAAATCACAGTATGAAACTATGAGAAAGCAAACACAAGCCAAACACTACGCTCCGCCCTGATGTTTGCAAACTGGGAGTCCCACAACCTCTCAGGGTGTGAAACCAGTGCTCAGAGGGACAACGCGGTACCAGAAGACAGCAGGACTGTGACCACCTGTGAGTTGCCCCACAATGCATAAAATCCAGCAAATCTGCTGGCTATAACAGGTCTGCTGGATCTTTTATAAGCCAGGTACACCACCTGCAGCTGTAGGAGAGGATGATTGCTTCTTTCCTTTCTCTGTACACAGTTGAGTTTTGCTGGTACATCCTGAACGGATTATCTGCTAAATATCACACTGCGTGCTGTGGTGGTGAATTATTTCCAAAAGTATTTTAATCACAGAAAGTGTTACAAGCGCTGGTAACATGAAATTACCAGCATCAGTAAGCCCAGTAACAGATTTTTTTTTAACTATTTTTCATTTCTTAGATGGTGTTCGTGCCTTCAGTCTGATGGATTTAAAGATGGAGGGGGAGTTGTAGGAGCATTGGGAATACAGTGGAAACAAAAGCGTGGGAAAAGAAGCCACGCGGCCGTGCTGCTGTCCCTCTGCAACTGAGCAGGACAAATCTTGGAAAAATGGAAAAAAAGGCAACGGGCAATGAGACTCAGCTGCTGGCTTCCACGAAAGATGTCTCAGGCTGCAATGAAGGAGCAGACTGCAGAGAGAACGGACTTCTGATCAGGAACCCTAAATCTGCCCTGCGGCTAGTGGAGGATGGGAACAAAGTCCATCCCAGCCAGGGAGATAAGGAGGAGGCAGCTCCGATCAAAAACGGCTATTCGGGGGTTCAGAGCTCTGGCCCTTGCAACGGGATGGGAGGGGTGGAAGATGCCCAGTGCACTGCCCCCGCAGCCACGACCACCACCACAACCACCACCTCCACCACCTGCGGAGCCGAGGGCCAGCAGCAGCTGATGGAGCTGGAAGACAGAGAGACCTGGAGCAAAAAAATTGACTTTCTGCTCTCTGTCATCGGGTATGCAGTGGATCTGGGAAACGTGTGGAGATTTCCTTACATCTGCTATCAAAACGGAGGAGGTCAGTGACCGGTTCTGTGTGTTGTTTTTAACACCCAGCTTCCTTGCTTAGAAAGGAGTGAGTTTAGTGGCTCATTTTAATACCACCCATGACAAATGAGTAAGGGGAAAATACTTCTGAAGCAGACTGAAAAACGTAAGCAGTGTGATAGGATAAGATAAAATAATCAGTACAGCTAGAAACTGAAAGCTGGTTAGGTGCAAAACAACCTTGCAGGAGATGTTCAAGCCCTGCCCAAGGGCTGTCTACAACCAGATAAACCAACGTGTCAAAACACTCACCAGGAACGCTAGGACAGACTCACTGACATTTCACCCAAAACACAAATCCAATCAAGGAAAGCTAGGACAGGAAAGACTTTTGCCTCCCTGACGTACAAAGGCATTCTACTGAAGTTAATCATTTTTGCCTCTATCCCACAATTGTACCCATTGCAGAGGCAGTAGGGTCTTTGTGAATGCCACCTATACAGAAATGTGAGAAGCCTGGCCTGAGTGCTGCTTCTTTCATGCTGCTGGGTAGTTGCCCTGCTGAGAAATTCCAGGATAATTCAGTGTGGCACACTGGCTAGGGAGGGAATATGCATTGTCCCTGAGAGATAGAAAGAACTCTGTTTGTGGAGTGTTGGGACTGGTGGTGGAGAAGTCCCACAAAGAACTGTAACCATCTTTCTTAACTGCTTTCTTGCAGGAGCATTCCTCATTCCGTACACAATCATGGCCATCTTTGGAGGTATTCCTCTCTTCTACATGGAACTAGCATTAGGACAGTACCACAGGAATGGGTGCATCTCAATCTGGAGAAAAATATGTCCCATTTTCAAAGGTAATGAAGGGAAATGGAAAATTATCAGGAACTTGCCAAGTAACTGATTTTTCTATAAAGATGACATTTCTGAAAAAAATCTGAAAATCACAAAAGGCTAGTTCTACACAAGATTTTGGCTTTACAAAGTAAGCTTTCCTAAGACCTTATGTACATCTGTAGATGTGTGTGTGCTCTCATATACACACGATGTGCAACTCTCTGATTGACTAGAGAGGCCAGTCCATTTTCTCTGACCTAAGCTTGAAAAAAAAACAAAACAAGCAAAAAATGAGTTACTAAAATAATTATAATATTACTGAACCCAAAATTAAAAACAAGAAAGAAGAAAGATCCACTACTTCTATTTCAAAGATACAAGGAAATGAGTCCCTGTTTGCAGTCTTTTAGAATAGAAAGACCCATTCTACATGCTTGTTACTCTTGCTAGTGCTCTGGTCTTTTTTTTTTTTTTCTCACTGGGAGTACGAGATGGCAGTTTCTAAATTCCACATTTTAAGAGCAGATGAAACAAACTATTTAAGCGTATTTTGTCTCGACTAAGAATGCTTTTTTGGAATCAGAGCCTGAGTGTTTCCAAAGCCACAAGAAATTCCAGTGTGGTAGACACAGGACAGGGCATGTGTGCCTCCTGCAGAACTGCCTTAGGCAATCACTAACTGTAGTTGATGTGAATAAACAATTCCTTCTTTTCCGCGGGCCCCAAACTCACTGTCTTCCTGGAATTATTTCCTACCTTACTAGGAATTGGCTTTGCCATCTGTATAATCGATCTTTACGTGGCCTCCTACTACAACACCATTATGGCGTGGGCCTTTTACTACCTCGTGTCCTCCTTCACGGCGGAGCTGCCGTGGACCAGCTGCACAAATGCCTGGAACACGGGCAACTGCACAAACTACTTCAGCAAGGACAACGTCAGCTGGACCATGTACTCCATCTCTCCTGCAGAAGAATTTTATACGTAAGTGCATGTAAGTGAGGACAGTGATATCAGACAGAATGGTGGAACATGTAGCAAGGTTTTCTTTGGAGGGGGAGCAGGGGTGTTTAGCAAGAGTATTCTTTTCTGAAGTATTCACATAATCAAATACTTGTAGGGGTATGTATGCTTAGGGTGTGTGGGAGGGTGCTCTGTATTTTAGATCAGACGTTCGCAATTTTCTGGCCTTTATCAGCTGTCAACACTTATCATTTATCATCACTGATGTACCACAAATATCAAGCCTGTAATTAAAAAAATCCCATGATATGATATGACTCTAAAGGCCTTATCAAGGCCTCAGGACTACTTGTAATGCTCAGATCACAGTATGGGACTGCTCAAAGCATACTGACCATAAGTATTTGTTACAAAAATATCTACACTCTGTTTTTCTTTCCTCTTTCAGCCGCCAAGTTCTACAGGTGCATAGGTCCAATGGGCTGGATGACCTGGGGGGCATTAGCTGGCAATTGACCCTCTGTTTATTGTTAATCTTCACCATTGTATACTTCAGCATCTGGAAAGGGGTCAAAACATCTGGCAAGGTGAATGCAAAAGCAAGACAAATCACTTGGTACAGTATAGCCTAGCAGCAGTTCTAAAGGAGCCAATTAACACGGCAGAGAATTATCCCAGACTGCCTTCACGGCAGGGGTTATGGCCTCGTGTATTCGGGAAGCTCTTACCGCAGTGACTGCGACTGTCACCCAAGTAATACACCACAACAATACCTTATGCCACCCTTCTGTGGACAAGAGCATCCCTGCCCAGAGAAAGCGTGGCTGTTCTTGTGCCAACTGCCCATTCACAGAACTTTTGAGAAGTTCACATGAAGATGCTATAAATGCTAAGAGTTATCAATTGTTTAACTTCTTATCATCTGTTAATTTTCTACCCACGGCAAACGCTACCTTCGTGTTCCCCTCGCAGGTGGTGTGGGTGACTGCCACCTTCCCGTACATCATCCTCTTCATCCTGCTGGTGAGAGGTGCAACTCTGCCCGGTGCCTGGAGAGGTGTCCTCTACTACCTGAAACCTGACTGGCAGAAACTCCTGGCCACTGAGGTAAAAGCATTATAGAAGGGCAGGGATTTACTTTCAGCCACTCAGCATGGATATCAGCACGTATAAACTTCAGTGTCTACTCCCAGCATTGGGCACGACTACACACACGTCTGAGCTTGGACTCAAAAGCCTGACTTCATGCTCTTGTTTAAACAGTCATGCCATTCTTTCCATAATTATATAATGGCTTTTTGTTGTGTTTGTAAGATTAGACAGGTTTTCTGGTTCTATTTAGCTACTTAAGTCCACTGTCAGTTTAGCTCAAGCTATTAGGGAATGGTGAGCAGCCTGGCATCGAGCAAGAAGCCGCTATGATCCCTGCTACACAGTCCTGTACCTACAGCAGTCACAGTGAGCAAACTCATTTCACTAAACCCTAACATCTGGATTAGCTGCAGGTTTTCTTCCTGTGAGGGGATCACTGCACACTCAGGCAGACTTCCCCCCCTCACAGCAGTGGCTCCAGTTACCTCTATTTAACTGTAGTTACCAGAGCTGAAACTTAAGATCTCCAACCGGTGACAGTCTCTGTCAGAAAAGCCCAAGTTGAGTCTCCACCTGCCAGCTAACACACGACTCGGTGATCAGTGGGTACGTGCGAGTGCTCTGGAGAAGGAAGAGGTCAGTTAGGCCTGCATACACACCCAAAGTTTGACAAGAAAGGAGGAATGAGGACAGTACTGAGCTAACCACAAAAACTCCTTCCAGTATCTGATCTAGCTTTGAGCTCTGGGGATGACAAGCGGTCCATCAGGCTCAAGGCTGCGCTCACTTCGCTGCTTATCAAAGTCTCTAGTGGGGAGGGTGAGGGAAAACCCCCAAAGCAATAAATACTACAAATACAAAGATAAAAAATTCCAATGTTTGCAAGTCTGCCACTGCCCAGCTGATACGGAGAGTTTTGAATGAAAAGGAAATGAAAAGACACCAGTCTCTGATAAAGAAGCATCTCCAATAAGGGACCACATCTTCTGAAAAAGCAATAAAGGGCATTGATATTGTATTGGATGGATCTGAAGTGAGGACAGCAGATCGCAATCTGTGTGTGCTGGACGATGACAGAGTTCTGTCTGTGGCTGATACGGGATGGCCTCACGCGATGGAAGAGTATTAGAAATGAGTTGTAATGAACTCCAGGCTTCAATCAAAAGAGGAGAGACGAATGTGGGCTTTCACCTTCAGAAAGAGAGCTGATATTGGTACTTTAGGAACACTACTCGCTAAGGCTGTGGCCACTTTTCAAGTACAACAGGCTTTTCATAACAAGATCATCACACTTGCATCTGTCATGGCTACAACAAAGCTGTACTGAGTCCTTCGAACTAGGACTGCACCCACACTGTCACACGTATTTTAATGCATTGAGCAAAAATACAGACAGTGATCATCTACTGCTTAGCCCAGAGGACGCACAGCCAAACACCGGACTGTTCCACAGCACCCAGAGCTTGGAGGAAGAAAGGTGGGCCAAGCCCACCATGAAATCATGGACTGCAAAAGCTACATTAATCTAATTACAGGCAAATCACTGCGAATTAATCTAAGATACTGTCAGAAATTAGTATTTAAAAAAAGTGTATGAAGAAATACAGTAACATTTTATCCATGGTAAATTCCTTGAAATAAATCCTAATTATATCACCAATGAACACAGGCATAGCAAAGGCACGAAAACTATAGTGGATGTTAGTACCTGTCTCAAATCTAAAAAACAATTCTTATTCCAACATACTCTTTTAACAAAATGTTCGTTAGGCCAGGACTAGCATATAGTCAGAGTAGCAAAACATCATTTTGTATGGCTAAGTGATACTGTGAATCTGCCAAACTCAGTCTGTTTCACATCATTTTTTCTTGACTTTACTATTTTTCAGGTTTGGGTGGATGCAGCAGCTCAGATTTTTTTCTCCCTTGGTCCAGGTTTTGGGGTCCTATTGGCTTATGCCAGCTACAACAAGTTCCATAACAACTGCTACCAGTGAGTTCTAACTTATTCTGTATGTATAATTAATATATATATATAATTGCTTGTATTAATGAAAAAGAAACACAGTGATGGTGAAAGACACTGCATTGCCAAACCTGTATACACATAAATCAGACAGTGCTGTAACAGAACAAAAATCCTTATTCAAAGATTCTGCAATCTGAAACAGTTTTCTCTCTGTTTGCCTACCCCAAAAGAGAGAATCTCTATCAATTAGAGCAAGGAAGCTTAGGTGTAGAAATCTGCCAAAAGAAAATGGCACAGGTCACTGACAAACCATCAGATTACAATTACTCTAGTCAGTCAGTATGGATACGACTTTAAAATCTGGAGCTGGATGGCAATTTGTAGTTGTTTCCTTGTTTTCTTAAAAACTGTTATTTATACCATTAAATAAATTCTTCCTCCATTCTTTAATATTTCTGTAGTAACTCCAATCCTTTTAAAATTCCAGTATTTCTGTAAGCATAAATCCAGCATTTAATCCTGTGCCAGACTAATGTTATAACCTGCTTGAAGTTCTTCCTTAGGAAAAGCAATGAGAAGGAGCTCGGTTGTTGTTTGCTTGTTTGCCAAAATGCACTGCTAGTTCTTTGCACCGCATTCCCCTAGTTTCTGTAGGACTCTGTTCAGATCACCCCATCTGGTAGCAACCTACCCTTCCCACCAGACGCCAATTCCCTGATATGAGTTAGGTCTTCTGTTGCAGAGATGCTCTGGTTACCAGTACCGTGAACTGCTTGACTAGTTTTGTGTCTGGATTTGTCATTTTCACTGTGCTGGGCTACATGGCTGAGATGAGGAATGAAGACGTATCAGAAGTTGCCAAAGACACTGGTAGGCTAACTTTTTGTACAGATCTCTCCAACTTCTAAGAGATTTAGTTGCACCGTGCTAACAATTACCTCTAATTCCTACACCAGGTCCCAGTCTGCTCTTCATTACCTACGCCGAGGCCATTGCAAACATGCCTGCTTCAACTTTCTTTGCCATCATATTTTTCCTGATGTTACTCACACTGGGATTAGACAGCACGGTGAGTAGACAAGACCTCAGGGAGCAGATCTGAAGAGGTGGATGAATGGCATTGGGTGTATGATGGCCTTACCCCAGCAAACAGCAGAAGAAGCAGAATTACGACCATGGTGCTGTCACCAAAGGGCTCTAAAGCAAGACCGGCACCTCCACGCACCTTCTGTGAGACAGCAGCTCTTCCTCCAAATTCGATGTTGGAGAAACTGAGGCCAAAATAAAATTAAATGCTTTGTCAAAGTCACTGTGATAAATAGTAAGAGACCTGGGAACACAGCTGAAGCACTGGATTCATAAGCTCCTGGTTGAATGCAGCCTCCTTCTCTTCTGTACTCGTAAACTTATAAATCAATTAGTAAATTCTGTTATTTTTTTCCACACTAATTGGCTTTAAAAGGTGGAAGCTAGTGAAAGCCTTCTCAATAGCACTGCAAAAAAGATGTTCTAACAATTTTCTACGTAAGCCTGTTTTTAGAGATTGTGAATCAGCTCCTTCCAGGAAGGCTGAACTCGGCTGAGTGCACAGTCTTGGTTGCAGTCTTATCAGTAGCTTATTACTTGTAATACAGTCCTTACTCCGGGTGATAGGCACTTCTTACTGATGACTAAATCCCTGCCCTATAGAGTTAAAAAATTCTGAAGAAAGTCTGTTTGAACAGCAGTTGTACCAACTCTACAGGCAGAAGAAAACACAGAAGTGTTTCAATCATCTAAAACTCCTTTTCCTGGTAAAACCGTCCTCTGTTTTTCATTGATTTTTCAGTTTGCGGGACTAGAAGGAGTGATTACTGGAGTACTGGATGAATTCCCTCATGTCTGGAGCAAACGCAGGGAATTATTTGTCCTCGGCCTGATTATTATTTGCTTTTTGGGCTCATTAGCAACCCTGACATTTGTAAGTATTTTACCCGCTCCTCAGCTTTCCTTACTGGCAACTTTCTGCAGATGACGTCTTGGAGAGAGAGTATTTTTTTTAACACAGATTGAGGAAGTCAGATTAAATCTCTCGCCTGTTTTCTTTACGCATTAGAAACCTGTATTTGTAATGAACATAAACAGTATCTCCCACAAGGAAACGTGCTGTGAAACAATCGCATTGCAATTCAGCAAAACCCTAACATGCCACAAGTCACAAATGACGCAGCTGCTGCCCCAACTGCTAAATCAGCAAGCAGAGATGCTCCCACATTGCATACGTGGTTTACTTCCCACTGTCCAAACCTCCATGTTTAAAAATGATGGGACTTGTTACTTTCATTTACCCAGTGTTTGAAAAGTATATTGCATTTTAAAAAATTATTAAAAAAGTATCTGCTAGAGATTGCTGTAACTATTGCTTAACTGCTCTCCAGGAATTTCTGCCAATGAATGTCCCAGATCTTCCTCATCAAATCAAGCTGGAAAGCATCATCAGTCACGCCTTAATTGTCCCTTCATTTCTTGTGGGATTTCATTTTCCCAATAAGCTAAATTTTGAATTATGAATGCAATGATCATAAGGGACAAGGAAAAAGTACTCGCCTTTCCTGTCACACTTCACTCCCCTTGCTCATTAACAACTCTCTTCTCGTTTAAAGCATTTTACAGTAAAGGCAGGCGTAGTCCCTCTCTGGGACGCAATGTCCTCCTCCTTCATCTGATTCTAGGCACCCCAAATGGAAAGAAAGCAAAGCAACACACTGCATGTTTCCTGTTCTGTAACTGTGACTCAGGTTGGAGGAAGAAGACACAGAGGGCATGCAAAAAGCCACTCCATCACACCCCAATAAACCTCATTTGTACATTAAAAGCCAAGTAGAACAGCCAGCAGATTTTTAGCTTTTTAGCTCTTCTGCACGGCACTGGGGGAGGATGTTCATGGGGAGCCAGAACAGATCAGCAGCACAGCCAGGGTTTTCACAGGTCACAGCGCAGCAGAACTTACACATCTGCGAATATTCGGGTCCAGATGAAGGCAATTATAAAAAAAAAATAGTGTTCCAGGACTTCCGTCACTGGATCTCTGGTTCACTGCTAATGTGATCTCCTTCACAGGGAGGCGCATATGTGGTGAAGCTGTTTGAAGAGTACGCCACCGGCCCCGCTGTCCTGACAGTGGTGTTCCTGGAAGCAGTTGCTGTGGCCTGGTTCTACGGTACGTCCGCTGCCGTGGGGCAAAACGATGCTGGCGAGCACTCCTGAGCCCGTAAGGAACGGCATTTCCTGTGTCTGCAGACAAGATCACTGTCATCTCAGGGAAAAGTTTGCCTTTTTTTCCTCGCACAAACTCTCTAGTTACCAAATCTGTGAGAATTGTTGCTGATTGTTCTCTGACAGATGCATACCAACATCTAAAAACAGTAAGAGATACCACTCAAATAATTAAGGATTTAATGTAGTTAGGACTTACAGGAACAAAACACTATTTCAAGATGGGGTCTGAATTGATTTGCTGTGCATGCGTCTACTTGGAAAAACGTGTTTCTGCTGTCACAACTCCTCCTGCTTGTCTCCACAGGCATCACCCAGTTTTGCAACGATGTGAAGGAAATGCTTGGCTTTGCCCCAGGCTGGTACTGGCGAATTTGCTGGGTAGCAATTAGCCCCATCTTCCTTTTGGTGAGTTTTCTTTACACTCTTTTTTTTTGGATCCAGCATAAGAAAATAATCATTGAACAATGTAGCTCCTTAGACTTCTAGAAGTTGACAGGATTTGCTTGTGAAGTTCTTTAGAAACAATTCTTGTTAAATCAAAAATGCCCAACTAGTGAAGAATCTGACACAATGCTGCAAGGTCTTGCTACTAAACCACAATTTTAAGGATTTTTGGAGATGAGCTGTGTAAACAAGACTGGATTATGAATAATTCTTCTCCATCCCCCTCATGAACAAGTATTACTTTGTTTTGTTGTTTTATATTTGCCTCAGCAAATAAAAATGATGAGGAAACATACTGTGTGCGGAGCAAAACCAAGGTAGGTAAATACACTGTCCCAGTAACTGCTGATGGACACTTAGAGTACTCCATATAACATTTACAGCAGTTAATTGCAGCCTTTCTAAATCTACATTACAGAATTGGAAATACTGTCCCGATGTTTGACTTGGCAGGATTATCGATAACATTTTAACATCAAGTGTTCATTTCCTGATCCCAAATTAGTTCATGCTGTCTTTTATTGTCACCAGCCTTAGTGGGAGCAGGGCAGGTCACGATGGAGTTTATGAGCACCGAACTAGATTTAAGACCTACAGAATGAATTCCAAACACTATTGTAATGATCAATGCATGTTTAACAGATTTTTGTTTTATTACCCACAGAAAAAAAAAAAAAGGAGAAAAAAAAAGACTGTAAATAAAAGTGTTACACCACAAATAATTTTTATACTACTGTCCTCTTTGTGATCCCAAAACAGTAAAACAAACAGAAGCAAACAGCTTTGGTGATGTGGTAACTAGGCAGAGCTATTTGTCCTCGCTGCGGAAACTAACCCAAACTAAGGAAAGCCCAGAAGGCAGCATGTTAGTTTTCTATGGAAATTTTAAGGACAGAATCCTTATCTTCTAATAATAATCTGGAAAAAACAAGTCAGAGATCCTTCCAAGGGCAGTCCCAAATATTATTCACGTAGTATTCAGCTACAAAGTATTTGTCATTTCACAAGAAGGTTCTCAGTCATGAAGGATGTGCAGATTGAAGATGATGATTCAAATTCTGAGTAAGACTTGGCTATCCAATTTTTTTTCCGCCTGGGAACACACGGGATGAGGAAGACCTAAGAGCAGCACTGAAAAACAGGCACGTTTTGTAGGAAGCCTGAAGCAGTACAACCTCTCTCAGGACAGGCAATCCCGGAATCACACAAAAGTCATTTACTCCCTAAATCCCTCCTTAGGGACCTAAACCCATTAAGAAAGGTTCTCACCAATGAAAATGACAAAAATAAAATGGGTGTAGGCACACTGGTATCTGCGGAAGTTGTAATGTTTGTTTAACTTTAAAAATCCACTCATTTATTTTGATTATACATAAAAATAAAAAGCACACTCAGATTATAGAATAAGGAAATGACCACAGAGGATATGAAAGAGTTATGAACTGTTAGGAAGCGTATCTTAATGCATCATTCTTCAACTATCTTAAGCAGGGAAGAGGGCAGAGCAACAGGAACAATGAAGTTGGAATAATTAAAATGGGTCCTAGATTACTTTTTTCCTGTTCCCACGTAGTTGTTTAATCACTACAGTAGGGATTGCTTCTCTTCCCTCTTGTTTCAGAGTAGACACTTGCAATATTTGTAGAATTTAACTGAATGAGCAAATAAAAACCATGTTCAGAGCTGAAATTTCAGACCTCAATTCCAGGCTATCTGTACATGTCAGGGCTGCTGTGATCTTTGGATTCACAAACTACACACAGGAAAGCCATCTAACAGCATTCATATAGGTGACAGCAGAATACCATATCCAAACTAGGACTGGCATTTGCAAAAGCTACTGAAGAACAACAATTATTCGGATGAATATCACAGAAAATATGCTAAGTTTGTAGAACGTAAGTAACAGAAAAAATTGGAACCTGTATAGCCTATCACAGAGAAAATGGAAGGCTGCTGTGAGTACTGTATGGAAGTACTTTAATGGTATTTGAGAGAGCATGAGCAGGGTCTTGAACCCAACAAAGAACAGCATAAGGAAAACAATAGAGGGGCTGGAGGTTAAATTCAGGCAAACCAGAACTGACACTGATAATGGTTAAATACGAGGCAAGTAGCTAAAGGAAACAGCACAGTTTTCATTTCTGGTGGCTTAACATTCACGTGATGCCTTTCCCATGGGATTTTTGAGCAGAAACCAAGCTGTAGGGCTCAATACAAGGATAACTAGATGAAATTCTACAGACTGGTATCGACTGATCTGGTTTTGTTCATCTAATCTCTTTTTCTTTTCCTTCAAATATACAAGTGTGGTCCTGAGTTTTCTCCCTAATGCTTCTTAGGCAAGAAACACCAGCACGCGTATTTATGGAATAAGCAATCCATATGGCACTTTTTACCTAGGTCATTGTAGTTGCTGGTTGGCTTATATCCTAAAGCTCCTGAGCTCCTTTAAATTTCCTGAAGGAAAGTTTGGATATCCAAAAGCTTTTTATTAATTGATACTAACATCATCTGAGATTTTTTTTCAGGATCAATATACATTTAATCCTTCTTAAGTCTTAGTATTTAGGCTTAAGTTGACTGCTATTCTGGGCCAGAGAGCTCCCTAATGCGTGCTATCAAAATACATGCTTATACTTTTCTTGTTTCTTTTTCAGTTTGTCACTTGCAGCTTTCTGTCCAACCCTCCTGAGCTACGGCTTTTTGATTATAATTACCCCTACTGGACCACAGTGCTGGGTTATTGCATAGGAACCTCTTCTGTCATCTGCATCCCCATCTACATGGTTTATCGGCTGGTCGTCACTCCAGGAACACTGAAGGAGGTATCCAGTAGGCTCTGTTGTTTCTATTTGACTGTTAGGAAGGAGGTGATGTCCATAAGTATTATACATTATTTTTTTCTAGGATTTGATGGCCTCGGCTGTTTTGTTCCTAGCCTGCTGACAGCTAATTGTCTTTTGTCCATTCTGAGGGATTTACAAATCCCCCAGGTCTCACCGAGGGGGCTGAGATACATATTCATATCAATTTATTAATCATAGAATGGCCAGGGTTGGAAGAGACCTCTAAGATCATCTAGTTCCAACCCAAAATTAAATCAAGGTTTTTTTAAGCACTGGTGAACTGGAGGCATTCCCTAGAAATCACACATGACACAGCGCTGTCTGTGTGCCTGAGCCAGTGGAACACCAGTTCCCCTGGGTGAACTTACAAGAACAAGTTTCTTTTTCTCTCCCACACTTAGTAAGATTTCTCCACCATAAATCCTTGATGGTCTGTGATGACATTTTGGGGATTTCTCGTAAGTTCATGTAAATACCAGTTCAGAGAGTATGTTCAACTCGCTCAGGGTACCCACGTAAACATCGAAGTCCTAAAGCATTAACACAACAGCTATCAAACTGATTTAATTGCATCTGTTACAAATAATTAATAAATAATGCTGTGCACTTCTGTAGCCCCTTACGATTTCATAATGCTAGGATAACATAACCCTGAGACATCCTTGTCTTGTAGCTGATGAGGTGTAACTCAAACCAGAGTCACGTTTTTATTACAAATCCCTTTTCAAATGGTGCTAGTGTTATTTATTACCTATAAAATGAATCAGCTTCTAATACTGATTTCTTTCCAACAGCGTATTCTGAAAAGCATCACTCCAGAAACTGCTACAGAAATTCCTATTGGAGACATCCGCATGAATGCAGTTTAAGCTAACCTGTCTTCTGGGGGAGAGGTGGAGCAGAAAATCTAACTTTCCCCATACTCTTCCCCACCCAAAGAATTACGTTTCCAGCTGAGATAACAACTGGAGGAGCTTTCAGTGGGGGCTCTGTCACTGACAATGGGCATTTGGAAACGTGATGCCTCCAGCACATTTATCCAAGCAATCCGATGAAAACTGCCGAGCACTTCTAACCAGAACTGAACCGACTGGGACCAATCCGTTCTGGAAACACGAGGACGTCTGCGTGCATGAGAATACCACTGCTCCACGCGTGGGCACTGGGGCTGGCTGAAAGCCTGCGGGATTGCCAAAGCCTCTGTGGGATGAGTTTCAGCGGGGGGGATTAGGTTTAGAATCGCACGTGTGTGGCAGTACCCCTGTATTTTCCTCAATGTGATCGTTCGTACTGGGCAATGTTGTATTCGCTTCTAAGGTTCTAATTGCTTCAACTACAGTGAAAAATACAAAGGTATTTCCGATAGCCATATATTACTCAAGTAACACAGGGTTTTATAAACTGAAATATATTAGTAAATTCTGCAAACCCTCGGTCTGTAGGGGAGTCATGATATAAGAGGAAACAACCCCAAGCAGCACTAGGTAGCACTCCGCACGAGTTAGCACACACATCTGGTAACGTTATCCTCCTTTTCATTTCCCACATTTCATAGATTTTAACAGTTTGTTAATTGTTTCTTGCTTAATACATTCTACAAAATCCATTTTTGCAACGTAGGCTTCACCTTCCTTGAGACGCAATCAAGCAAAATACATCATGGGTTACCTGACAAGTATTTAAGTTGCTAGCACTTACTCTAATGTTTTCATAAATAAGCTAGATATTCGCAGAAGTCATTGCACTGACAGACCTAATGTTTATTACCAAGGAAACTATAAATTGACTTCCATACACATACTGATCTCTGCCTATTAGATATGTACATACGCCTTCCAACAGGAACCGCCCTTTAGACTCACTGCAGCCGCCAAGTCATTTGGAGGACAACATTCTTGCTGCAGTTACGTGGAAATTTATATAAACCTAAGTAGTCATCATTTATGTAAAGACATTGTATTTTTACTCTACCACATAGATTGTAACAGTCTATGAAAAGTAAAATAAAATAGAGCATAAAAGTCTCTTTTGTATTTCATGGTCTACTTAGGCAACATACTGCTATAAGGAACGATGTTACGTACACATTTGGAGCAGCAGGCATTAAGAAACCCACTGGAGAGATTACATCAGTACAAAGAACTTACCTGGTTAGAGGAAAGCAGGAAGGGTACAATTGCCTTTTGAAGCCATTTCCCTTGCTTCTGTTGTTTTGCTGCTTAGGTGTGCAGATACCTCGTGGAGGAATGCCTCCTACACCTCAGCTGCTGACTTCACTTACCTTTAGGTCTCAAGCCCAGCTTCCAATGAGGAAATAAAGTGAAGGTTCTTTCCAAACTATAAACATAAGTCTTCTGCACCGTTTTAAAAAAGGGAGTAGGTTCTCACGTTGCCACCAGAAAAACATAATAAATCTGTCTTACTGGATGGTTACTCATACAAGCTAGTTCTGAAGTTTACTCCTCAAGAATATTTGAAAACTACTTCCAAAATTGACTTCATTGTGAGGAAAAGACAAACAAGTTGAGAATCCATTTAATAATAAAAATGCATTAAGATTTGAAGTTGTCAACCAGAAAATTACTGTTTTTTTAATAAACTTTTCTGAGTTCATTCATTGAAAAATTACATATGAAATGTCAATGTAAAATGAACGATGTACTCTTATGTATCAAGTGTGGGAAATAAAGGAGAAAACCCCACCCAGCTTCTCCATTCTTTAGACTGGTGTCCAACTAATGCTAGGTATCTTTCCTCCTAAATGGGAATTTTCAATAGATATATCTTACAGATGTATTTCTTGCCAGAACTGATACTCTGTTCCGTGCTAGGCTCATAAATAAATAAATATTTTAAACTCTTACAGTTCCAACTTTTAGTCATTTTTGTATGCCCGCTTGCAAAAGTCTCTTTTAACAGACATTGTGCTACCTTTTATTAAGAAAGGCGACAGGATAGCAGAAATGGTTGAATTAAATATGAACATTATTTGCATCAAAGCCAAAGTTTCTCTTTCAGCCGTTGCAAAGAAACTGAAACTGGGAACATTATTTCTAATGGAATAATTTGCAGGGTAATAACTGCAGAAATCACTGCTATTTAGTGTCCAATACTACTGACATGTTATTCCTTTATAACAGCATTTGGAAAGGCAAAAAATGCATCTTTAGTTTGTATTAAGACACTAACATACAACAGCCATTTATTCTCTGGGTGGATTTAGCACAGAATGCTGGGAAACTGCCCAAGAAATGCCAGTTTTTTTCTAGTGGATTAAAACTCAGCCAAAAAGCCCCGATCTTAATATAGATTCCTGTTACAGTCACAGTGTAAAACTGGGCAAGTTCTCTCAGCTTGAATTTTGTCAGTTGAAAAAAACAGAATAATGAACTGTGTCTACAGCTGTACCATGAGAGATGAAAGCTTTTAAAAATATTTGAAGAGAGATAGAAAAAGCAAAGCAGACATGTAGTCACAGGAAAAAAATATTTTCAGAAGAAGGCAGTCCAGAAGATCACTAGTGATGTTACATCTTTATTCTCTTTTCACCAGGATAATCCTGGGGGGGTAAGGAAGCCCTCAAGAAGTAGACTGAAAAGGCTTTTATTTTTTTGAATAATGTAAAGATAAAAAACATCTGTGTTTTCATTCTAAAAAAGCTGATTTTGCAAGGTACTTCAGTTCCCCTTCTTTTTGTTTTAGATGGCATGCTGGTTTGAGGTTTTCAAAATCTTCTTATGATAAATTAATTTCTTAGTATCTCTGTTTAGCCAAGTAGTTGAAAAAATGAGAAATTGATTTCATTTATATTTATCATTGATCTGCCTTTCTTCTTTTTACATATCCACCTGAAACCATTTGCAGTAACCAGTATTTATCAGGTAGCCCAACAAGCAGCCATACATAAAACACTCTTTTTGTCTAAAACATAGTTGTTTTGATACCAAACGGGCTGCACTGCAATTCAAACTGAGGCAAACAAAATTCTTCAACTCACCTTCCGCTTATCTACCACACCAGTATATCCCACCCTCTATAATGAACGGTGAAAAGGGACTTACTGAAACTGGTAAATTAGGAACGCATTTGCCTTTCAAGCAGAGAATTAGGCTGGAGCTTTAGCTGTACAGAACTAGGTATTCCCTCCACCTTGTTCATGGATGCATCTGTATTAATTTATGTGGCTGTTTAGTTACAAGTGTTGCAAGCTGAGTGTAAGTCATCAGTATGTGCCTTGTACTGTAAACTGTTATTGTAATAAATTTAATATTCATAATCCATCTGTAGATGACTCTTGTGCCTCTCTCTTATGGGGAGTTTCAAGCTGGCCCACAGCAGTTCCCAGCTTTTTAAAGCAAAGATAAAAGAATTCCAAGAAAAAATTAATCTAGTTTACTACACCACTAAGGCCTCTTTGACAAAAAGCAGAGTATTTCCTTTGCTGTCTGAACCTTTTCCACTGCTAAATATTCTGCTTTCATTCTATTCCAACAGAAAAAACAATGTGCGTGACATTTGTTTAGACAGAACATCAAAACCAAACTGATCCACACTTGGAATAAATGCTTAGCTACTCAATTTATTTACGTAAGAAGACAAGGTAAAAACAAAATGGTAGCAAAAGAAAAGGACAAAAAGATAAAATGCCAAAGCATTTTTTTTTTTTTTAGAGCTTCATCTAGGAAAATATAAATAAAAAATTTGAAAGAGGATTAGTCCAACACAAGTATTTCTACTTATGTATTTCCTATTTATAAGCCTAGCATATTTCCCGACCGAAGAAAACATAAGCACATCATACGGAAAAGGGAAAATACAGATCAAACAGAACTCCAATTGGTTCTATTCTGAGCTACATTATTTTATAACATGTCAAAAAGGAGCCCAACAGTTTTGGCAGCATTTACTAAAACTAGGACACAAAAACACAAATGACTCAGCTGTTCTTCCTACTACAAACCACTGCAGTTAAGTGAATCATACCGTGCCCTTCCCGATGAGTTTCTTAAAATGACACATTTCAAGTTTCCCCGCTCTTAGCAGCAAACGATCAGCTCACAAGACCTGAGCTACAGAAGTCATAATTGAGAAAGCACCACAGAAATTCCCAGAAGTAAAAGAATTAGTAAATCAGAAAGTTTTTTTTGGAAAATAATGTAAAGGGATCTGGAGAGAAAAAAGAATATCATTTTAAAAGAATAACATTTTAAAATCTTGGCCAGGAATAAGGGTTATCATTTCCCATATAAACATTTGATTGTCATAGGCTTTGTTCTGAAACTAGGATTGCTTTAAATGACTTTGATTATCTAAGTGTTCAAAATCATCTTTGTGGCACTTATAAAAACATTTATTTTTAGTTCACCTTATTATGAGACAAAAGTGAGATTTACTGAAAAAATAAGTGAAAGAAACCATTGTGAAAACTGGTGAAAAAATATTCTAAAATCAATGCCCATTGCCAGATAGCCTACTTACCAATTTATAGTTTGGAGAGAACTTTATTTCTTGCTTATGAACCCCTAAACAGACAGAGTGATAAATCTAAAGTACTACCTCCAGCAGAACAAGCAAATGTGACTGCAATACATGAAAAAGGATGCATTTACCTTATTTCACATACAAAAAATATGAAGCTATTGCCAGTAAAAAGTAACTCAAGCATTCAAAAAGACCCGCACATTAGATGTAGTACATATCTTACATTTTATTTAAGTATTTCTGTACATTAGGTCCCTAAAACCAAAGCCCACACATATATATACAAAATCCGTACATCAATTTGCATTTAGCTTCCCAACCATCACACTACATACAGACATCTCCTGGATTGTTGTTTGGGTTGTTTTGCTGGCATTTCTTCCTCAGTTACAGGTATGTTTCCTATTTTTGGGAGCATCTCTGGGCATTGATACTTCTTGGTAAGGCCTGAGAGCCGTAAAGCATTACGAGCTTAAAGAGCTCATTCTGCTTGAGCTGGTGAGAGGAGTAGGGGCTGCCTGGGGGAGGCATTCTCACTTTAGGCTGTTTAACATTCTTAGAACTTCCTAGAATCTTCAGATGAAAAATAAAACACAACAGGGATAGGATACTGCAGGCAAGGGTGGATTGATTCAGACAAATTTAATACTTTGACTGGATAAACTAAGGGTGTGTTATCAACTGATCCATTAATCCATTTCAAAAGATGTTCTTGTTTTTAATAGAGCACAGACATTTATAAATGAAAGCCAAGAATAAATAGCTAAGGTACACTTCTGTACAAGAGTCCATGCAGCAGTGGATTTTCCTCTTGTTTGAGAGACCAAGTGGTTTTGTCCACCGCAGCAGCATTAATCTTCTTCTTTCTCAATGTAAGTTTTGGCACTGACACGTGCCATTTGCCTTGCCAAGTAGCGGTCCCTTGCTGACATGACTGTCTCTTCATTGCTCCGTTTGGCAAATTTGCTCATGCTCTCGGATGCTTTGTGTGTTTGTTCTTTCTCCTCTTTCTCCCCTTCTTCTCCAGCTTTACGTTTCTGCTCAGACAAATTTCTAGAGCTGGAGCTCCTCTTCTCATCCACCTCTCTCTCTTTTCCCTTCCTCTCCATTTCCAAATCTCTCTCTCCATCTTTTTCTAAAGATGCAGGGCTGTTTTCCCTCCTGTCTCTGTGTTTTTCATCACTACCATGTTTCTCTCTCCTCTCCTTTACATGATCTTCCTTTTCTCTGCATTTCTCTCCTCTCTCCTTCTCTCTATCACTGGATCTATCTTTACCACTTCTTATTCTTTCTTTTTCTCGCTCCTTTTCTGAACACTTCTCCTCTCTCTCTTTTGCCTTCCTCCATTCTCTTCCATGTCCCTCCCTCTCTTTTCTTTCCTTCCCCCTTTGTTTATCATCTTGTTCTTCTCTCCTTCTGTAATTATCTTTAGTAGCATGATCCCCATGTCTATGCCGCTCTTCCTTTTCCCTATGGTGATCCTTTTCATGGGTCCTACTTCTCTCGTAATCTTTTTCCCTGTATTGTTCATCACTTCCCCTTCTGTCTGATCTGCTCTCTCCCCTCTTTGTCTGATGATTTGTCTGGGCTTTTGTGCGCAGCTCTTCATCCACACTGGATGAACTTGGTGACCTGGAATGCCTCTGGTGCTTGTGATGTTTAGCCTCCTCTTCACTGCTCACAAAGCTGTCTCTCATTTTCTTCTTTTTCAAATTTACTTTACTAGTCTTGTTTCTCTTATCATCATCGTTACTATCACTTCCTATGTCGGTATCAGCATCTGGATTATCCTCTTCCTTAGCAGGGGGCTTGAGCCTTTGCCTTTCGTGTGGGCCTTTGTTCCTTTGGTCGGATTCTTCATAACTAGTGTTAGTTTTTTCTTCCTTTATCCTACATTTTTATGTTAAAAAAGAGAAAAAACGTTACACAGCCTGAAATCTCAGACTTTTCTACAGAGTGACTTCTGGTCAGGGCTTAAGCAAGACTGTAAACAAAAGATGCTGCTGAGACGTCTAAGAAAGCAAATCTATCTGTAGCTCAGGTTCCAGGAATCCAGCATAAATGATTTCTGTTAAAAATCTACATGTGGTTCACTGGTGAATGAAAGCTGATGAATTTATCTAAAAGAATGAGTATGGTTAAGTATCTGCAGTCTCCTTCTAAAGAACAGAAAAGAGATTTGAGTTCTTGTATAAGCTTTCTGGCAAGCTACACATTTTTTCCTATGCACTTACTCTTCTATTCACGTCAAATAATTGTCCGAAGAAGAAGCATGTTGTGTGATTTTGTTCACAGAAGTAGGAACGTTGCTTCCATTAGAAGTAGTAGATTTTTACTGCAGTATTTCTGAAGTTCTGATTCTTGTGACTAAGTAACACTTCTTAACAGCTCATAGATTCTCAAACAAAAAAGACAATCCATGAAGGACAAATTTGGGAACTGGGCAGAAAAAGTTATGCTTCGTCATTCTTTTCTGACTGATGGAAATGCATGTTTAATCACACACAAGCCATGTGTCTCCTCTTCCTAATCATACGGCTGCAGTTACAGGCTGTGGTAAATTCTTATGAATCAGCAGACCATCCAGATAGATTGAATGTCTGATGCATGCTTTAAAGTCTTAGAACAACGACTAAAACATTAAGTTGGGAAATCCAATAATCTACTTTATTAACCCAATTAACTAGAAAGAATGTAATGCAAATTCTGAGATCTGAAAGTCAAGCTGTGTTCTCTCTGTATCCTACAGTACCACCCTAAGAAAGATTAAAATATAAGCTGGAGCTCACACAAAAGGCTTTCTGGAAGCACCATCTAACGTACTATTTGCTTTCCCACAAATTAATTTTATATACAACTTGCAAAAGAAACACTTCCTTAATATGCAAGATTAAGAAACCACCATTTCAGATATCTCTACACAGTAGAAAACCACATTTTACTGAAGAGGCTTTGAAAGACCTATTAAAGCAAACAGCAAACTACGTAGGCTGTTACTTACACTACAAACGCTATTGCTACTGTTTTACACAGATTCAAGAGAATAACAAAGATTGCATCAATAAAAAAAAGAAGAAACCATAAAAAGCAAAATTCATTTAACCACCTCAGTAGCAATCTTTGTAAGCCACTGAAATCAAGCAGGTCTTTCTCACTGGTGGAAGCCAGGGACAGGATGTTTTTCCAAACATATGTGTATACTAATACTTTAAGACTGAAATGACGAAACTGTGGCCTCAAATTACACACTTTTTTGCTTAAATTCAGGAAGCTGTTCTGCTTTTCTTCCAGTTGGTATTTCTTACTTCCTATTTCTTTTACACTACCTTTTCCTATTAATTCCAATAGGTGGCACATCTTTATACCAAACACATAATCTAGTACAATAAGTATAGTATTAGAGTTCGACATTTTTTTCAAGAAATTCCTATAAACATTTCCTATGACTTACCTCTATGTGCCCATTATTTTATTTTACCTTTTGCCTCCTTTGTGATTCAGAATATGTAACTTAATGCAGATTGCAAAATACTATGTAAACCAAAGTAAATACAGGTAGAATAATATAAAGTACTGTTACAAGTATGACTGTCCTCTGACACTTTTTAACCACTTTTTAACCTGTCCTCCTTGTTGCTGTCTTATAGTCTAGATCATTGATGATCACTGGACATTTTCCAAATAATTTTGTTAACTAGCTGTATGTATGAAGTAATCAAGTTACCCCTACCTGTGTGATATACTATTCCCTATTTCTTGCTGTATTCCAGTAAGTCTGGAACCACAATCAGCCAGAAGCTGTTTTATATGTGAAAGCTTTCTGGAATTGCATCGTACCTGGCTTCACGGAAGCTGCATTTCGGCATCTCTTCTTCCCCTACTGTCTGGTTTAAAAGATGTCTGTAAAATCCACTGAGATCCTTCTGTTTGGTCACATCCAAGTATGCTAAGGGGAAAAAAAAAAAAAAAAAAAAGCAAGGTTGGATTTAGTGTGTCATAAATATTCATCAGACATAATAATTCACAATTGGTAAAGACACCAAGAGTGCAATCTCTGGATTGCAAACCTGGAGGTTTTCAAGCCTGGAGTGCAAAAAGCTCTGAGCAAGCTGATCTGACCTCATAGCAGGCCACTCTTTAAGAAGGCTGGTACAGAGGTCAACTAGACCAGAATTACCTTATTCAAGATGCTGAAAATGCAGGAGATTACATAGTGATCAAACATGCTTTGTTTGTTATTCTAACATCTATTTATAGTTCTAATTTTTAAGCCTATTTCTGTGACACTACAGAATATCTGGTTAGGGAGCGCAAGCGTAATTGTACTCCAGGCTTACAAGTCTTAATTCAGTAAGAGAAACCTCCTCAAAAATTAAAGGCCAAATAGTACTGACACACAAATGGAGGAGCTTCTGCTCTCAATGACCTGCACAAGGGAAAATAACAGATGGAAAGCGGGATCTGATTCAGTGTGTGTTATCTGCTCCTTTTTTATACTTAAACTATATCAAGCCTTACAGAAAGACCAGATGACAATGCTGTAAATCTTGTACAAGGCATACTTCTTTTTAAGAACAATTATACTGGTTTAGTGTTAATCTCACCCTCCAGAGCTGCCTGTCTTTTTTCTCTTTCCTCCTCCTCAGCCCTCTCTTGCAGCTTCTTCTTATAGGCCGAAGTCACAAAAGCCTCTTTGTGAGCAAATTCTTCTCCTTCCATTTCACGCTCTTTCTGAATTTTTCTTTCCATTCTTTTTTCTTGTTCCTTCTTTCTAATCTCTGCTGCTTTGAGGATATTGTGGATGTATCTGGGCTAAAATAGGAGGGAAAAAAAAAGTTTAATGCTGAGAGATAATTAAGGTGGCTAAGAAAACACAAACTGGGCCTGATGTTGATTAAGTTTGTAATGGGATAAAAAATGACAGAAGTTAGTATAACATTCTCACACCAACAGCAGTTTTAAACTATCATCCTCTTTTAGGTCACTACTGTGGTATGCTTCCCAATAACATCACAGGTTGCTGTATTCAACGAAAACATTCAGCCCGACAGACTATGATGACTTTTTGTCTGAGTGAAACTAAATCTTTTTTTTTTTTTTTTTTGACTTCTCAACCCTGTCTTCTGTCTTGTAAAGTCTTGCCTTTCTACTTATGTAAGGGAGTAGAAAACTTTCTTTTATATCCCCATAACCTGACAAGCCCTTTCAAACAAAACAGAATAAGTAAAAACAAAAATATCACTTGTCAGGATAATTCTGCAATGCTTTGAAATTAGGCATTGGGCTGTGAAAACTGGCTCATATTTCACCAGCGAAAGGTAATTACTTTAGTCTTCTGACAGGTTTCCTGTGAGCACACCAGTGAGCAAGAAGGGACAATTTATGTTCATCGTCCTTTATTACCAGAAGTCATACTGCTGCAGGGCCCATTGCCTCTAACCCTATTATCCCACCATAACAGTCTCTTAAGAAATAGAGAAAGATATGCTAGACATCCTAAGTTGGGTGGGAAACTTGCAGTCTGCTGCTCTCCTGAGTACTCTGAAGTATCTGATGAACCAGTAGTTCTACCAAAATTGTTGCAAATTACTAGCTTAGGTAACAAAATTAGAGAATGAATTTGGCAAAGCTTAGAAGTTAAGCGACTGTAGTTATTCCAAGCACACAGAGATAAGACAGACAGCATACATTTTCAAGTATCGACCTTTTTGTCATCGTTTCCTGATAACATTCTGGCATTATTTTCTTTCTTCTTCTGCTGCATTTCATCATAAATACTGTCATACTCATACACTGTAGCATCTTCCGACAAAGCTTTCTGAATTTCCAATTTAGTCTAAAACAAAACAAAACAGAAGATAAAGGAATGAATCACGAATATGTTAAATGAATGATGCATAAATATCTTTTTCCTTCTAACTATGTCTTCCATAGCTTTTTTTAAAAGTAAAACTCATGTTTCTTCTGTATAACTTACTCCTCAATTACAGTCACAGGCCCACTGTTGGCATATATTTAAATATTAAAAAAACAACAACAACAACACTTTGTAACATTACATTCTACAAATAAAACAATTTGAGAAACTAAAAACATAAATGCATTTTATGCCATAATACAAGCTTTGCTTTGTATTGATTAAACTTAATTTTTTACTGTTTCAAGTTATGACCAGCTCTGTGTTAAACCTCAGCCATAGACCGCTCATTAGGCAGTTCTACAGCTACTCTGGTTATAGCAAGAACCTAAAAAAAGAACGATCTTGCCCACAAAACCGAAAGAAAATCTTTGCTGGAGGAAAGGCGCTGAGAATTTCATGTTTAAAAAAATTTTATGCTGCGAAGAGCAATGCATGAAATTATAAAACCACGAGGAATTTTTTAAAGGGTAACTCTAACTCTGAAAATACACAATTATGTTTCTGCAATTATTTAATAAAATGGGAAATGTAATTGGTTACAATTTTATCTTTCCATATTTAGAACACTTTAGATTCCAATTATTATGCTTCTGGAAAATAATCATGAGCATTTCCCTACTGGTAAGGTTTAAAAAAAACATTTTATAACATCCTTAATCTGTTGACCAGAGTAACAAAAAAACCATCTTGATTACAACGAGTCTTATCTTTGAAAGACATCTGTGTGGAAGCCTAGAATTAGGATAGTAAATTTCATTCTGTAACTGCAGTAAAAAATAGAATCACATTCTATTTGATTCCATGATTCTAATCGCACTTAAATACAAACCATATAATTTGAGTTATATTTTCATTCAGTCAAGACAGGAGGCCAAAAACTAGTAAAGGACTTTCTCACTTCCTTTGTCTTTTCAAGTATGCTTCAGAAAAATTGGGAAGCGCACTGCCTGCAGGATGTGCGGAATCAGCAGGATATACGGCAGTGCATTTTGGGATACATTACCACATAAAGAACTGAAAAAAACCTAACACACTGGCAAACAATTTATGGAGGAAGTTTAGGAAGGGAACACATTTTATCAATACAGCAAAAAACAGATTAAAATGCACATCCATATACACTGATGTCACTGGCAAAGCCAGATTAGAAAGCTCCTCAGCTTCACTCACTCCATCGAGGGTTTTTTTTTTGGTTTTTTTTTTGGTTGTTTTTTTGTCTTCCCTGTGTCCCATTTACTCCTCTGTCCACAGCCCTGCTTTTAGGTCTGCACTGTCAGGCTGCTTGTTTCACAGGTCTCAGTAGCAGCACGGGTTCACAAGCCACTATTCCAACACAAAGGTGCAAGAGTAAAAGGACAGGAGCAAGAATTTCTTATTCTTAGCTGGAATTTCTGGTACCTTTGCCAGCGAAGAAAACGTGTGTGACTGAATCTGTGCTGAACTGGCTGCTGGCCTGAAGACAAACAACCAAAACCAGGTAAAACTACCATATCTCTGCAGATAGTAAATGCAGTCATTTCCAAATTTGCCATGGGCATGAAAAGTCTCCACTGCACCTTACCTGTTTCATCACTTGTTTTTTCAATGCTTCTTTCTGAAGACTTTCACCAACGGATGGCTGTAAGAAAAAAACATTGCAGAAATAAAATGAACTACATTGATGCAGCTCACATTATTTTTCTGCCATTTTAATGAACAGTTATCTAAACAGTCTCCTTACATTAGGCAGTCTCTCACTCCATCAGCATTTTTCCATAAGCAAGAAAAGCTAAAAGTTTATTCATAAGCATACAATGAATCAGCCTTTTCCGTGAGCAAAATACTGCCCTACCTCAACATATGTATATGTCTTTTATAAAAATGATGATGAGTTTAAGAACATGATTTTACAGACAGCGTACCTCAAAAGCTACAAATAATTTCCTGCTATTTCACTAACCAAGCAGTCTCTGCTCAAGAAATGCTCAGAGACGTGAGATCTGTGGAAATTGTTTTGTCCCAATGCCTTTTTCCAACCACTGCCAAAAAACTCATAGAAAAGCCATGTCCCTCCACTGCAGCGTCAGTCTACTGGTTTACGAAGCTAGCACATCAGGAGTCAAAACACCCAAGAAAGGGTATCTAAGGCAAAAACCAAAGCAGATTCCTAAGAGATAATGCTTGTGATACACCTGTGCACTCTTACAAACACTGAACTTCTTTCCATTGTTGCTAAGAAAAAAAAAAAAAGGAAAACACAGACCACCCCAAATCAACAAAAACTGGAATTATATCCTCCTACCAATTTATGTATCAAAACCATTTTAATGTTCTTGCAAACTGTACTTAAGAATACAGAAGGATAAATATTCTCAATAATTTTTGAATTATATTTCTAATACTCTGTGAAACAGGCATTGTTCAGAGTATACATATTGCTTCCCGTGTGTAAATTTCAACAGAGAAGTGACTGTGCCGAGCAGACATTCTTAGTGACAACCCCACAGGAGAACTGCATTCATAGAAATATCCGAAAGGATTTGGCAATATTTCAAGTTTGATCAGTATCGTTAATTCTGTATTTTTTAAAAACAAGAATGTTGCTGTTTTGAGCAGCATGTACTTCAGGCATTAATGGATAATATTTCAAGATAAGTAAGCTAGAAAGCAGCAATACTAATCTTCCCCAAGAAAAACACGTATCCACTACTGAAAACATTCCCTAATCAGCATACTTTCTAAAAACAAATAACAGAAACGAACAAACAAAAAACAGAACTGAGTTTTATTTAGTTTTGTCTTTTAATTAGTGTTGAACTAGACTGCATATCCTTCTTTTCTGAACCAAGAGATAACACTGTTTATTAAACAGACGTTCTATAAATGTCAGGACTCCTATCCTTGTTTATGTAATTAGATATCGCTTCATCTTAAAAAGCAGAAATAGGAAGGAAAAAATCCTCTTGCGCTTTGGCAGCTTCCCAAGCTTTGTGACTTTGACTAGTACGTGGATTCACAGAACCACAGGACAGTTTGGGGTGGAAGGGACCTCAAAGCCCACCCAGTCCCAAGCCCCTGCCACCTCCCACTCGAGCAGGCTGCCCAAAGCCCCATCCAACCTGTCCCAGAGCTGGGGCATCCACAGCTTCTCTGGGCAGCCTTTCCCAGTGCCCCACCACCTTGGAGCACACTCTCTCTCTTTCTAAAAAGAGAAGAGACTGTGTAATCAGCTCTTAATAAAATTAAGCTGAAAACCAACTAGCAGGGAGCCTGAAACAGCGACTAGGATCTTCTGAAATCAAACAAAACTAGCACAAGGCAAACCCAAACAGATTCCCGTATCAAGAGGGCTCTGAATTTCATCTGATGCTTACAAGTAATAACGTGTCATGACCTCTTTTTCTTATGCTTATTGAAGTTTTAACAGATGGGTCAACAAGGAAAGACGCCCAAGTGCTTTTCCATAATTTTCTACATGACAGACTGTAAACAGTTCAAATCTTTGTCACTGCTTAATTTCAGAAACAGAACAAGTTGTGCCATAAGCAGCAGAATTAATGGACTCTCATTTTATGTGACTTTGTGCCCTCTATCTCTTTATTCCCATTATCACCCCCTCAAACACCCTACCTGCTTGATTTGTCAAGTGGGCAACACTCCGTGTGATCCACAGCTACCCCCGTGCTGAGCAGTCCCTCAATTATGCCTTCTTTGGGCAGAAGAAAATTGGAATCACAAATTCTCAGCTGTCTGTCCTTTACTCAGATGCCAAATTTCACAAAAAAAAACAAAGGAAGAGAGTGGTTTTGGGCCCTCTGCCACCTATGTTGTGTGGTTAGGATTGATAGTGGGGGTCTAACTAACAGGTACATAGAGGGATCACCTCTACATGTTTTTTTTCTGCTAGGCAAAGCACAAATGGTAACAAGATCTGCAAGCTTCTGTGTAGTCCTGTCTAAAAAAAATATCCAGAAATTTACTATGTCCAAGCAGTACCGAGCAATTCCAAGCTCAGCAAGAGGAAAAAAGGGTGCTAAGGCAACACTGACAGTGCTGGGAGAAGTAGGTATGGTACCCCCTGACAGCATCCGCTGAATTCGGGTTAGTGGATTATTTGGTTGTATCACCCAACAAGACTCCTGGCTTCAGCCATCAGTATTTCCCTCTAGCTCTCAGGATTGCAGAGCTAATGTTCTGTAAAAGGTGCCTGAACACCAAGGAGCTTCCTCTGTGTTATGGCAGAAAGCAAAGGCTCAGTAACAGACAGCACAGACCCCACGGCCCTAGTGACAAAGTGAGCTTTATTCCACTGAAATATTTCAGACCCTGCTCAGAGCGTTTTCCTTGTCAGCCTACATGAAATGAATGTGTTGATCTACAAAGATTACACAAACACAAAAGTAATATATAATCCTCATTATTGTACATGTAATTGTAAAGAAGTCCACCTGTGATATGTTTGCCTAGAACAGCGGCAGGTTTATAGAAAACAAACACCTTCCCTAATGGTTTATGGTTGACAATTTCCTGTTGTGCTATGAGCTCTGATAGATGAGAACTTCCTGTTCTTTTGTATTGTTTTTACTTATCAACTGCCCATTTATTAAAGGCCCCAGAAGCTCAGCAATCTGTCTCCTACTTTCTCTTTCCCTGAAGTCAAGCTATTCTTCAGAAGCACAAAGCCTGTAGTTTAATATTTTCTAGAAGGAAAAGATGGTTTAACCCTATCCTTTGATTTGCGTAGAACCCAAACAAAAAGATAAATAAACTTAAAAAAATAATAATAAAGAAACTTAAAAATGAGTCTCTACAGTTTACCAGCTCTACAAGGCCATGGAAGAAAGCTTAGATGCAAACAAAAAGGTTAAAAAAAAAAAAACACAAACACACAAAACAGTTAAAGAAATGGCCTCAATCTATGAACACTTCTCACTGTCACACATCGAAGCTACAGACCAATGTTTTTAGCTCATCTCAGGTGCGTTCAAATTCTAACAGAGCACTGCAAACCATTTGCAGCTTTATACAAAAAGCACAATTCAAAGTTCAAAAATCCAGCACCTAAAAAGGGGGGTTCCACATGTTTTCTCTGCCCTCCCACCAGAACATCCCTGTCTTCCCACATCTCAGGTCTCATCTGCAGCTCTTCCCTTTCTCTCTGTAGTTTCTGCTTCCTCCCATCTCACCTTGGCAATGAAAAAGGAAAGAACTCAGACAACAGATTCACCTCAAATCATACACTGTACAAGCCATGGTGACTGGTACAAGGTGACGAGACAGAATGCGTAAAATAACTCCCGTACAGAACTAGCTTTCCTTGGCATACCCACCCAGCTTCCAGCAACTAGGAGTCTTGGGGCTTCCTGAGATGGAGGATGCACCTGGACCATTGTTTGACACCAGCAGCATCCCCTGATTTGACGAATCCATTCCTGAACCCATTTATAGCTTTGGCCATGCCACAATATCCTGTGGCAGTGAGTTCCACAACTTAATTAGACATTGTGTGGAGAAAAACAACTTCCTTGTGTTTAGATGAAACCTGCTACTTGGTCATTCCTTTAGATCCCCTACTGCTCATGTTATGAGAAATACCAAAATCACTTTACTTTCTCTGAATCATTTTTGATTTTACATGCTTCCTTGGGAACTATTCCTCTCCACTTCCTTTCTGTCAGTGAGCTAAGAGCCCCTCAGTCTGTTTAGTCTTATCCTGCATGCAAACTGCTGCATAAACTCCAGTCCTTATTGTTACTCTACTGACTTCTCCACTCTTTTTATCAGTCACAGTGTCCTTTTTGAAAGGAACTGTAAGCAAAAATAAAAATTTGAGTCTACATGTACATGCTGCAAAATGAGCCTCCATTTACACAGCGATACTTTCCACTAAATTCCAAATACGAAACAGAACACAGAACAGTGCGCTGGGAACACTGACAAGCCACCTCTGAAAGCACAGTGCATGAATATTTTGGGATAATATTTTGGGAGAAAATGGATATACAGCAAGTAACGGTACGCCAGAATAGAAGCTTAATTCTGACATCTCATAGTTTGCTGATGTAACATCTGTTCTCTATAACAGGTTTTCCTAGGGATAACCTTCCCTCCAGTTTTTAAAAACAGTAACAGTTCCTCATTTTGAAGGCAAGTAATTCAAGACTATGTTGTCTAGAAATAACTGTAATCACCTGGTTTTTCTTTTTGCCACTCAACACTGGGAAAATTTATTTTAAGTAAAATTTCTATCCAAGGTGTTCTTGTTGTGAACTAACCCAAAGAACATCTTCATCAGCGACTAACATCCACTAACGTACTTAGTCACAGTAAAAATGATCACATTTTGAATTCCTTCAGCAAGGGTACAGGCAAAATCTTAATGAAATATGCATAGTAGCATTTTAAAAAAAAAAAAGAAGGGACTGAAAGTTTGGTATCTAATATATAATCACAGACCAAGTCAGGTGTGCAGATTTCCCAGCACAAACTTTATTAGAGTTCAGTTAAAAATACATAATCTCCAGACATTTGAGATGTAGTTCTGACTGATAAGGCAGCAGACAGGAAATGAAACCCCTCCCAAATGCTGCTCCTTATCTCGAAAAGCTCTGGAATTATTATTGAACTAATAAAGTAATTTTGCTTTTTAAAAAATGATCCTTTTTGATAAAGGCAGTTATGAGATTATTACTTTTTGCTGGGTATGTACCATACTGATGTGCATGACAACTTTAAATAGTCTGTAGAGCAGCCTGGTAGCGAATGTCAGCTCTTCGGAAAGGAACGATACTTGATCTGTTAAGCTACAAGTTAGCTGACACCAACACACATTGTTATTATTACCAATATTATTATTAGCATTATTTTACTTTCGTGTTGAGATATTAAAAAGAGAAAATTCAGAAATAGAAAACATGCAAGTCACGCCTCACCCACTGAGGGTTCCCAGTCCTACCATTTAATGTTTAATGACAACAGATTAATTCAGTTCTTGGGATCTGGAAAATGTGGGGACAGTCCCTTGATGCAGAGAAGGATACCAAACCCCATACTGCCACAGAAAGGGAAAGTGCTCCTGGCACTGAGGATAGTGGATCCCCATCACATCCACCAGCTGTGTTTGAAGGAAAGCCTCTCTTTAGAGCCCTGCTGTCAGCTGTGAGCTGTTGGAGGGACACACCTCCTCGTAGTACCGAGGAGAGCAGCTAAATGAGGAAAGGAAGGGGATTTCAGACATGTTCCTGCCCTCTGTGCTTCCTATAAGCTGCAGTTTCATGTCTGGGGTTGAGTGGATATTACTAAGAAACCCCTCAGTCCTCTCACGCACTTTGTAAAGGGAACTCAGACATCTGCAGCAGCGACTTTCTGGATGCAACCTCTCACAAAGGTTGGGAATTGCTCAATTTGTCATAGAAATATGACAAAAAATAACAACTTCTAGTTCATTAAAAATGTTTTGATACTAGGAGTCAGAGACCCACAAAGGTTATTTGATGCTTTATTAGCATTGGTTTTTCAACTACACAATAGAAAGAGCATTTTCTGGGTTTTGGAGGAAAAAAAGGTTAATATTCCTGTATTATGATTACACTATGCAAATGATTCAATAATCACGGGTAATTGCTGCTTGATATTACCCAGCAAATTGTAACTTTATCTCCAGAAACAGAGAAAGAAATTGTAACTGTATCTCTCATCTGTGTAGGGAGCTCCTCTCCACAATTCTATCCTTTTCCTGTAAGCTATGAAACTACTGGCTCTAAAATCTTCAAAAATTCTGTTTAAGAAGCTGAGTATCTGTAAGTGTTCAAACCAGCATACACTCCGAGCCAGTTCTTGGATGGCCCCATGTGTAGAGCAGTACATCCAGAAGTGTAATTTTTATTGTGGACAGCACCATCTACTGGATCAGGTAGAAAGCTAATATTTTTAAGGTAAGGCTTAAAAAAATAAAGATAACTATATAAAATAACACTATCAACATCATGCAATATTGCCATACATCACAGAATATCAATAAACTCTGCGGTCACTGAAAAGCTGTACATATGTTACTGCAGGGATTGTGTGTTTCGTTGCCTTTTTTTTCTTTAAAACTTTTAGTTTGTACAGCTTTGCTTTTGTTTAAAGTGAGTACCAACAATAAATCAATTATATTGAAGCTGCGTGGAATAATCTAAAGGATACAACACACTTAACAGCTGTTAATATTTGAGAAACGACTGTTGCTTGCTCCTGGCTGTTCCGTTTGTAGACATAATCACCTAGGTAACCAACAAACCTATGAGCTAGTTGCTGTTAACTCTTGCAAATATAAATTTGACGAACTTTTGGAAGAGTTGTCAGAAATTAACAGTGAAGTAATCACTTACCTTTAAGTTGCACTAAAGAAAACAGATCACATTTCACACCCAAATTCCAAGTGATAATAAATATCATAATACTGCTGCTAGATGCTGATGCAGGCACTATGGTTGTAAACAAATTGTTTGCAGAAAATGGGAAGAAAATTGTTGAACTGACCTCTTCATCAGAGTCATCTGCGAACACGGAGAGTTTGCTGGAAACGAGACTCTTCTGCTGCATTTTCTTGGGCATAATGAGCCCATACCTAGGGAAAAACATTAAAAGTTACCTTTAACATATTTGCTGCAAAACACAGAGGTTACAAATCAGAAACCTACTCCTCACAATTTTAGAAACAAAGGTCAGCATCAGTGTAACGTTTTGAATACAGATCTGAGCAGGATTTCCAGCAGTGCACTCAGCATCGCCACACACCCACCAGCTTCTCCCATGGCTGTGGTTGTCTTTTCCCGTGTTTCTGACTAAAATTACCTTCCTAAATCATGCCACAAACCCCTCCAGCCCTGAGTTCCCTATGTGATGCTTTGTTTTTCCCCTGCTCAGAGTAGTAAACAGCCCCTGTTGCCCAAGCTGCAGGTTTCCCCCCACACGAGCTGTTCTGTGGCCGTGAACCCACCCCGTGTGGCACCAACCCGCAGCCCACCCCCTGAGGCAGCAGCAGCAGGGGCCGCGGCCTGCAGCCCACTCGCATCACCCAGACACCACCTAACTGCACACTTCAGGCCCTGGTGCGAACAGGGCGCATTTTTACGCTCAGAAACACCCCGTGCAGTCGTGTCAAGGCTTGAGCCCCTAACCCAGGCCCGCCTCTCCCCTCACCCTTCCCCTGAGCCCCCCACAGGGCTCTCCACAGCGCGCGGTGCCACAAACATCGCCTCACGGAGCTGCCCGCGCTCCGGCTCAGGCCGGCAGGGCAGGGCTGCGGGAGCTGCCCCGCGGTAGGGTCGAGGGAACCCCCCCGGGGGCTGTGCGGGGCTCGCCCCGGCCCCCTGCGACCCCCTGAGCCCCCCTTGGCCCGCCCGCACTCACTGCCTGCCGGCCGCCGCCATCTTGGGCCGCGCTCCCGTCACAGCCGCCGCCGCCGTTCGGGTGCCGCAGATTCCTCACGGCTCAAAGCCCCCCCCAGTCTCTCCCGGCCCACCCCGGCGCCTCAGCGCCGTGCCGAGACCCGGCCCCGCTCCTGTGGAGAAACGGGGAACGGACCAAGAAGGAACGGGGGCGGCTGTTTTTTGTTTTTTTGGTTTTTTTTGGCGAGTGGCGAAAGTGCCGATCGGGGAGCGGCCGGCCCGCGCCGCCCTGAGGCGCCCTTCGCGGCGGACTGAGGGGGGGGGGGGCGGCACCGGTCCCCTGGCGGCGTTGCCTGTGGCCGAGTGAAGAAAGAGGAGTTTAATTTCCCCCAATTTTATCAAATTTTATTAAAGAAGCGGTTCTGCCGTAAGAAGCGTTATTGCAAAGATGAAATCTTGCGGCAGACAGTCAAGTTTGCTGTAATCTCAGGCTTTATCCCAATAAGACAGCTTTTTCCCTTTATATATTAAAATTATGGGGCTTTTCCATAACACATGTAGAAGTAACTGTAAAAAAATGCTGATTAACAACCTTTAGTTAAAATTATTTCTAAAAAGTACTTTAAGGACAGTGAGTCTTAAAAACTTTTGCTCTATCATTTATGAGCACTGTAGCTTGGCAGACGTAAACTCTTACCTGCTTCTTTCTTATTGGAATTAATTAATTAAAAAAAAAAAGTTAAATAAGCTTTTAAATTTACTATATATACTTATAACAATAAAATTGTCTCCTTTAATGCTTTTATTTTTCTTAATAACATACAACAGACCATTATAACAGACCAAAATATAAAGCACCAGTTTATTAAATAAAAGATGTCAAATAGCAGAACCACTAGGGTTAGATGAGGAACCAGTGTTTCAGCTGAAGGCACGCTAGACTTTGCTGGTGAAATCTGGAACTTCTTTATTCTGTAGGCTCTTTGTCATCTCCATCAGTGCCAAGCAGGTGTGCACCCAGTTGTACAGGTACTCGGCTGGAACTGAGCCCTGCTTCCACAGCTCTGCTCTGGGTACACCTGAAACAAAGAAGAGCTGTAACTGCAACAGGCCAAGTCAAAACTGCGACCAGTGTTTCTACAGGGCTGCACAGATAAGGTCATCCCATCAGCAGAGTTTTCCCCAAGTCCAATAATTCTACCCTGGAAAATTCTGGTGCTTTGAAATGGTGTATTATGATAGTGAACAGTTAAGCACATGAATGCTTCATTTTTATTATAATTTATTTCACATTGTGGTAGGTCCCCTGTTGTATGAACTGCTCTATTTAATACTAAACATTTGATAATTAAAAATGTAGTGAGAAAAGTATTTTTGTTTTGGTTTGGTTTCCCAAGCTCAGATTTGATTTTAGAGTAATTATCCATTGAAACTCTTTTATTATATGCTATCAGAGGTCACCCTAGAGTCATACCTCCAAAGGTTGCTCTGTGAGTACAGCATAGGTTATTAGTGCTTTGTTCCATATTACAGGGCACGCATATAGAACATGCAGGTGTTGTCCAACATACACCATGCGTGAACACTGATATTCATTGAAAAGGAATTGCTATAACTGTGAGTCAAAGCGGCATTCACACTGCTGATCTCACACTACTGTCTCACAGTAAGTTCCATCTGGGAAACAAGTCTCTTGTAGCACACAACAGTTGTTTGCCAAAGCTGTACCCTTTCTAGTTAAATCAAGGTTCTTAGTGAAGTAGGACCGGATGCTCTAGGCCTGCTTCATTGTCTCCCGTATTAGTTTAATATATATGAGGAAAACACACAAAAAGAAACGCTGACTGTATTAAGTGTTCACTGTTCATCAGTAGGCTGGACACTGCCAGCAACTATCCCCAGCTAAATTAGTAAGTCTCGTCCATGCTTGATTTTAACAGGCCTCAGTCTGGCATTAAATCAAGTGAAAGATGTCCATAAGAACAGCAGTCATTTCTCCTGCAGAGATGTTACAAGTACTAATTACCTCTTGACTGCTCTGGTACACAGAACAGGATACTTGCCAAACAAAACCATCATTCTTTGCATGTTACCTGCAGGATCACAATGAGACCACCTGTTCTGGTAGATTTCAAAGCTGATTTGTTCCCCTTTCCTTAAGGCGGTGAATTTTGATAATAAATTTAACAGGTTGACTTTTATTGACCAAAAAAGACCGCAGATCTTTAGGCCCCCTTATCTGCTGTTTAATGTACTGGGAAATCAAAGTTAGTTTCAGAAGTAAGGATTTTAAAAGCATGCAGCTGAATGTTGCAACTGAGAGTTTCATTACTGAGCTGTGTCTGGTAATCTCACAATTACTGTACAATATTTACCACCAATACAGTCCAGCAGCAGCTCTCCTTGAACTTGCACAGATGGAGCAGTTGGATCAAAGCAATAAATCTCCTGAATCAAATTGTCATCAAGATTCTGCAATGCAGAGAACAGAGTCAGATGGCAGTGAAAATCTTAAGAGAGAGTTACAGAACTAAAGAAGGGTAACTCAAGTATATAGGAAATCTAGAAATGATAAGTAAAAAAGTGGAAATTGAAAGGAAGATGTCTGCAAGGATGGAGAAACTGAAAAGTAAAAATACAGGAAAGTGAGTGAGTACCTGAGAAACAAAGGAGCACACAGTCTTTCAGATATTCTTAATTTGGAGGATATCCTTCCAATGTTTTAAAAATAATTACAAATCATACTCTTCATTTTGCATTTAGTCAGTATATGGACACTTACTGTATGTAACATCTCCCTATCACTGTCTTAATGACTGTAATCACTTCAAATTCAACCATCCAATTCTGTTACATTTCCACATCTGCAACTGTATTTACAATGTGATTTTTAAATAGTTCTGTCTGGTCATTGCTTTTACATGAACATATCTCCAGTGCCCACTTATCCGTTTCCTGTTCTCTTAAAAACAAATCTGGTTTATTAAACTGGACAGCCCCTTTTGTGTAATGTGCATGGAATTATTTCACTACCAATTGACCCTTGGCAAATACCACTGTATCTTCGTAATAACAGAAAAAAAAAAAAGGCTCACCTGTATACACTGACTCCAGCTCTCAATCTTCTCTGAGCCCTTCCAGTTTGGATTGAAAAGCAACAGCACAGCCTTAACTATGTTATGTATTAGAGCTGGTGGTTCTTCATAGCCCTTTATTTCAGCAAAGCTCTCAGCACTGAGTTTCTGGACACACTCACGTAGGTCCTGCAGCATGAACCGGTGGAAAAGAATTCCTGCATGCCTCGAATTCATGTGTTCTGCCTCTGGAATCAAAAACCAACCTTTCAAGAAGTTGATCAGAAACATATGATACTCAAGACTTATTTTATTGACCGAAAGGCTCTGCACTCTATCTGATTAACATTTTTTCTCCTTGACTGCGTGATTAATTTGCATACAGCCCAAGTATCCGATGAAACATTTCAAAATGGATATGTGCCTGAGAAGGAGACAAAACTTGCTGTAACGTAAGTGTGGTATGTTGAGACCGCTGAACATCCTAAGGGGATTAGATGGATGCCATAAATGTTGCTATGCTCCTGGGGGAACTGGAGCCACTGAGGGAGTGATTAACATAACCTCCTCTGGGGGTGATAGTGGCTCATTCTGATTCCAGAGTTCAGACAAACAGAAAACACAAATGGTATCAAGATTGCACCCTGGCCTGGGGACCTGACATGGGCACCCTGACTTATCAGCAGCTTTGGCACTGTGCTTGCCTTGGTTAGGATCCAGGTGAAGGGTCCAGGCACGCACTTAATTCTGGAACTTTGACACTAAAACCCTCTTAACCTTAGGTGGGGCAGTTCTGTGTAGAACGTGACAGATCCCTGAAGGCAACAAAGCACCTTTGATTTTAGTGGGACTCGGGCACAAAAGTATCCTGTGAACCAGAGCCAAAATCTGAACATTCTGTTTAACTGTACTCTGCTCAGCACGTAGAGTTGCTCATGAGTAGTTCATGTGTACCAAAGCTTTGTATTTGTCTTTCTATACTTGTAAGAACGATACTTAAGATGTGGTTTTACTGACATTCCTATTTCTACTCCTAAAAATGTATCTTGGCTCTGTGTGCACAATACCTAGTACATAGGTTGGTTTTGTTTCCTCTGAAGGTATCTTCAGTATCTCACAGCAGGCAGCTTGGGCCATCTTCAGCATTTTCTGCAGGTCTTTATATTCATGAGGAGATAATTTCTGGTGGTGTCCGATGCTGATATCAAATAATGCAAAAGCTTGTCTCGATAGGTCACGGAGAGGTACTGCAATGTGGTACTCTCCACAGACAGAAGTGCAAACGACTTCTGAAGTGTCTATGCACTTAAATAGGTAATCTCTGAAATGAGAGTAAAGAGAGGAAAAAATCCTAACTTTTACCATTCCAGTCTCTTTTGGTACTTTATTTAGCATATTTTAGTTAAAGATCATTCATCTTGTGTTGTTAAAACAAAGGTATTACATTACAGTCATTGTTTATTCCTTGAACTGAAATATGAACATATTTCAGTATCATTCAAACCACTTACAGAAAGGAGAAAATAGTGTTTTGGAACACAATATTGCTTACCCAAGGCAATTGCTGAACATCATAAGAATTTAACAGACCCACACTAGTTTGTATTCTTGCTTTAAAAACAGATTCCCATTATAACCATGTTGACATTTGTTCTACACATTTTTATAAAAAGAAAAAAAAGTGCTGGAACAGCAAATTACTATTCAACCAACTTTGACAACAAGGATGATATACTTAAAAGAAAAGTCTGTGAGGATCTTGGCAGTTGAAGGAAACAGATAGTTGAAGGAAATGAGATACATAGCCAGGAAAAAAAAAAAAAAAAGACAGATTACTGTAAAGAGCTTCACTACAGGCTCTGATCCTGCAAACCCTTCGCAACAGATGCAGAGCTTGCTTGGCAGCTCATCTGGTAAGCATTAAGTTGGAAGTTAAGTTTTCGCAGGCCTAAAATTAAAGAGAAAATTCACCTTACCCCTTCAAAATTCAGTATCACATCAGCATCTACAACAGAAGCCTCAACAGTGAGACAACTACAGACAGATAGTCTTGTAGGGTTGCATTACAATGGGCTTTACACAATGTACATCATGCAGACTAGAATCTAGGAGCAGAGGTAACTGGCTAGATTGCAGGTTCCAGAGCCTACCTTAAAAGGTTTTCTTTTCTGAGGAAAAGAACAGCAGAAGTATGAATTTCTTTTTGTCCTGTATTATCTGTAGTAATCATTTTACGTAGAGCATAGTCACATGTCTGTCGGAGAGAAAAGGGACATTTAGCTGCATCCAGGAAAAGAACAGCCATTTTGAAGCTTGGAGAGGGCGAAAAGAGTTTATTTCTCAAAGAAAAACTCCTATGTATATTCAAGTGAAATGAGATGGTTTAAAGACATCTCCCAACAATATCTGTTTTTATTCCCAAAGTCTGTTGCTCCAGATGCATGAAGAGTGTGCCGTGGACCTCCCTGAGACTGACTATTTAATCCATCCCCAGGCTCTACACTGAGGAACACCCACAGGCCAATGAAGAGGTTTTCCTTCTTTTTCATGTCCTATTACAGCCCCCTTTCTTATATTATGTTTGTGTCAGCGTGCCCTGAAACATGAAAAGCACAGAAGGGAGCAAACAACCTGGCTATCAGGCAGTTAATAAGGGGACAGTGCAGAGCCTGGAATGACAACAGAAGGCTGCCAGCATAAACTATACTTATCAGAGGAAACAGATGAATTATGGCTTCAGCTGATGTCATGCAGACTTTGTGGTGGCATGGGATCAGTTCTTAATATTGCATACACTTTCCTTCTCCTTAACTCACTTGTAGACTTGTGGACTGACAAGGTTCCCAGGGTTTGAGTGCCTGCTGAACAACTGGACTATGATCTGCAGGGACGTGGGCTGCCTTTACAGGCAAGTTAACTGGGAGCAGCCATTTCCTGAGTCAAATTTAGGTCTTGACTCCTGACATCAGTTCAGAATGAAGAGGTAATGCATTAGCTAGGGCGTTCTTTTTTTTCCACACCATAGTTTTAACATGCACAGTATCCCCACAGAAGAGCAGCTCCCTCTGTGGAGGTTCCAAAAAGCTGAGCTTTATCAGGCATTGCAGGCTAATCACCTGGATGGATGGATGGATGGATGGATGGATGGATGGATGGATGGATGGGGGTGGGGGTTTGCTCTATTGGTTGCTATGCACCTGTGAGCACTGAAGTAGGAGAATATTTCCTTGTCTGACGGAGAAAGGAGATATGCTAGCAGTGCTGTTGAATTGTTTTCCATGAAAGGCTGAAAAGAACAAGTGGCCTCCTTTCCAGAGGGAACCTTTTGATGCACAGGCAGACACAAGAATCTCAGGCAGCCTTCAGTTTTGACAACACCAGCACTGGGAAATCATATACAGCTAGATAGAGCATGTCCCCTCACTAAAGTAGTCCTGTCAGCCCCGCATACCTGCAATTAGCATAATTGCATAATCAGTAAACTACATACCTGATCTTTGCCAGGCTCCACCAGGTATGTAGTAACAGCGTGGATGCTGGAGACTCTGGGATACAACCAGTCGAGTGCAGTGAGGGTCATTTGCAGAACGTTTTCTAGTGCGCACACATGATGGTAGGCTTTGCTGAATGCAAGGGAAACTCCCTGTGAAAGCAGAATGCTCCAAATGAGCCAGACCTTTCTTTGGGGAAAACGCTGGGGAAACATTCATGTGGTAAAATGAAGCAAAATGGTTGTAATAAGTTACTTTAATTGCAGCTTGCAAAGGTGAAAAGTGACTGCGATATCTCCCTTATCAAATAAGGCCTTAAGACTCCAGAGCACCCAGGTCACAGCCAAGTACTACAGTAGTCAAAATTGGTTTTAGTGGTGACTGATAGTCAAATACACTGATAATGTTGGCTTGCTGCGCTCCCTGCTGCCCAGATGATGCATGCACAGTGAGGCTGATTCTAAAGAGCACTGCGTAACAGCATCTCAAAGAAATATGGACTGCTGCTGCTTATAATTAACCCACCATGTAAAAAGTGAGGTTTCACACCACTTTATACAAACAAACACAAATAAGATATTTAGAGCTTCAGTAACTAAAAGCTACTACCTTTGGGCTTTGCACAAATCTGCAAATGATTTACTAGTCAGGTCTGCAGAAGTTCAAATAAATTACTGATGAGGTGATAGCTGACAATCAATTACAAATAAGATGCTAATCAGTAAGATATTGACAAGCTGCTCTGCTCACACCAGTTTTATCACATACTGTAAAATCACATCAGTTCTTTTCTGAGTTGTACATCTTATGTCTATGCAGAGCAAACCTAAAAAATGCAAATAGTCTCCATCCATTTTTTTGACGTGCAGGATACAAACTGCTTTCTGGTAGTACCCACCTGGCAGAAACTGATCTCATGGGTCAGAAAGATGGTTTTCTCACTCTGGTCCCGAAGAGTATCAATTCCTAGAATGCCAAAGACATTCCAGTGAGCATCTTGTAATGGCAGTACCAGGAGTGAACCTCTTCTCTCCTCAACTGGACGGTCATAGTTCCAGAAGTGGATATTTCCGTGGAGCTGAACTCTTGGAACATGGATTGGTTTTCCCTCTTCAACAGCTGCAAAGCTGAAAAATAAATGTACGAGCAGGTTTGTTATGAGTATCAGAAAACCATTAGAAAAACAATAAATATTGCAGCTTTGAACTCTTCCTGCTTTTAAGCATTAGAGAAGGAAGGTTTTAGCTCCTTATTCCAACCACACCTAGAAATACCACATTTACCACTTGCATCCCAAAGACAGTGGTAATAAATAAGGCACTTTTTATTCTTAAGACATTGTAAAAACACCAACTAATGAATATAATGAAAAGGAATTCAGAAGGGAGTAGCTGGTACATTTTATAGGTCAGAAGAAGCAATATTTAAAGAAATATGTTTATCTTATGGAAATAAGAACTAAAGAGGTACGAAGGCTGTTTTTACTGTAAACACGAAGGAAGGGAAGGCATTGTTCTCAAAAATTATCCAGTGGATGTAACTGCTGTAAGGACATTAATTTTAAAAGAAGATATGTAGGCCCAATACAAGACATTTGCTAAGGGATGAGATTTATTAGACTGTGAGCTAATCTCCCCAAGGAAAGGAGCAAAATCCCAAATAAAGCAGTTCTAAGTAGAGCATGCAAAGCATAAGGATATCTGTATGATAACGCAACATCCACAATGGTCCCTGAGGGAAGTTCCTCTCTGGAGTACTACCAACTTCTGTTTTCAGTGCACCCCAAACCACTTCCAGGCACCCCTGCATTCCAGATACTTTCGGGAAGAAGGAACAGTTCTTTGTAGCTTTTCTTACCTTACTCCTTTCATGTCTTTGTACAGAATCTGGTTGAGAACATATGGAGCATCATCTGTGGTACACGCCACATAGTGTAAGAGAATCTGTCCCCGCTCTGGTGAGAGCTGGTTCTCTTCCAAAAGGGCAATATACGCACTGATCTTCTTGTTATCCCCGTGGGCTTCTGCATCCTAGCAACCAAATGGTTCCCATTACATTATGTACATTAGCCACTGGCCATTACGCTTATTTCATGCACTTATCACTCGTCTCACTTATGCTGACATGCTCTTCTGGGTCACTGATTTTGGATGTCAGGCACCAACTGTGTGACTTATACATGTGCATGTCGTGGTTGTGTCTGACTGGCATGCTCTGTTACAAGCAAAACCACATGGTATTTAGATTCTTAGAGAGAATGGATTTCTTTTTTTCCTGCTTCTAGCAGGGAGCAGTTCATCTTAAACTAAAAGCTAATTGTAAGATGGGCCTGAGCAAAACTACTGTGAATTTCATCTCCAACAGGAGATTCCTTTGGAACAATCAAACAAATGCCAGAGTTACTACATTTACAAAGCTAGACAATTTTGTAGCAACGTTTGAACCACTTTGAAGGAAGTGTTTATGTGGGGAATACTTTAATGTTCAAGATAAACATCCAGACCTACATCTGCAAGTTAAAAATGAAACCTTTTCCACTACAAATTAACTATCTGCATCCCAAACCAAGTCTGGTGTGTTTAAGAAACACCAGAACTGAGGATGGATTTCCAAATTTGATCCTAGTCAGCTATTCAAAATTTGAGATGTAATTATCCATGAAAGGCAGTCTGTGTTGGCAGAGCATGAACAAGAATTCTTTTATCATTGATCTGACCTGTGACTCTTTCTGTGCATAACCATTGGCTCTTCTGAATATCAGCTAAGAGCAGAAAGCACGGGAAAAAGAGCCTTAGGCCAGCTTCTCCTGCTACCTGTGAGTTCCACTCGAAGCACCAGGGTTTGAAGTCAGTGGCACAATCCTTACAAAAAAGACTCTCACGCTCCCTGGGATGCACACCTGGGAGAGGGCCTTAAACACTGCTTTGTAAACAGGTTCCATGCTTGCTCCGCTTGTCTCAGCTGCTTGCTGGATGTTGTGCAGCCATTTCCTCCTGGTCAAGCTTTGCAGGCACTCCATCCAGCTTCGTTCCACACTCATAGTCAAAAATTCCACAATGTTAGCAATAACTTCATCTTCATTCCCAGTGAACTCAGAAGCCACTAGCTCAAGGAAAGTCTGGAATGCCTCTGGGGAGAGCTTCTCCACTCTGCTAGACTGTGGGTAACGTGAGCTGAAGTGGCTTTTTGCTAGTAGAAGAAACAAAAAATAAGACAGGGACAATCTGTGTGAATAATATGTTTTGCATTTCCTGTGCAAACTATGAATCAAGCCTTAAACTGGTTCTGGGTGAAGCGCTTCAGCCTAACCCATCATTCTGGGTTTCTTCCAGCTATCGCCTACAAGTGGGTTGTCATCATGGGAGGTAATCTTCAGCTTCAGGACTGGCTGTACCTTTTCCTTTAGATGCCTGTGTTCTCACCTACTGAGAAAGAAACCCACACACCATTGCACCTTTGCTCCTTTTGAACCTCTACAAGATACCTAAACAATGAAGGTCAATTAAAAATACAAAAAATCAGAGGTATCTGTGCATCAAAACCAAATTTCCTGGACACATGGGGTTCTGGTGGGACTGGGGTGTAGGTAGGCATGCTGCAAACAGCAATAGTAGTTGAGACCTCACAGGAAAATTACTCACCTCTTCCATTAAAAATGTGAAGGGTAGATTTTACAGATGATTTCACAGATCACTCATATACCTGGATTTTCTATTACATACCATGCTTTCAGTCATTATATTTTTCTTTCAAGACCTTCCAAAGTAACTATCAGCCTTTCTTAATTACCCTTCTTAGGTGCCTTTGATGAAATATTGAAATAACATTTATATTGTGCTAAAACTTATAAATGGAAATCAAAGAAACTTAAAGCCTCATTGAAGTCATGCAGAGGATGGGACAACAGTGCTCTGGAGTCACCTGCACTGCACCAGCAGATGTAGATGTAGTGCGAAAGAACAAGAGCAATCTTCCTGGGTTTAGAAGAATAAATTAGCATGAGAAACACCTGAACAGAGAACAGCTGCTGCCTATTAGCTGCGAGGGATTGAAGGAATAAAGATCACTGTGTGATGACTCTGTGAGGCTGCTTTTTCCTATCTTGTACAAGGTTGAGGAGTGTAGCCTTGCCCTGTCCCCTTCCTCATGTCCTAGAGACTGCAGCTGAGCTGGCCCAGGTACCGGCCAACCATCTGCAGTAGATATCTGGCAGAGTTTTTGCTTGGTGGAGGAGGAATGCAACAAGGGTCAAATTCTAAAGAATCACTTTCCTCTACCTACTTTCTCCAGTTCACAAATTTCCAGTTTGCTCAGGGGTCCTAAGACAAATGGGTCTCCTCCTAGCCTTGTAATCCTAACAGACTGAGCATGAAAGAGTGAAATTACCACATCAGTTTCTATTTAAGTGTTAGTTAAATCAAAATGAGATTTTTTGAAGCATTCAACCCCTGTCCCAGCTGTTCCAACACCCAGTGTTGCTCTTCCCTGTGCTACAGCTCCAGACTCACGGGGGTGCTCTTGCACAACCTTTCAGAGCTGCAGGGTGGCTCCTTGCCTCGGAAACCTGGGGTTCATTGGGTGCTCTGCCCACAGCCGTGCTTGTCTGCTCACGCTCCGGGCAGTGCCTCTCCTCAGCGCTGCAGTGACTAACGCTTTCATCATTTGTTCTGCATCCTGATTTCAAATCCTGTTGGACCCGAAGAAGTAAAGCAAACGACAGATAGCTATTCATCACGCCACACCCTCCTAGCAAACTAACCAAGCGAAGATATACAGGTAGAAGAAGCGTGAAGTTTGCTGTTAGGCAGGGAGTATTTTGCGATCAATACGTACAATGCTCTATAAAGACCAGAGCAGTAGAAAAAGCTTTGATTAATGACGCACAAGAACAGGCAGGAAGCTACCCTGGCTGCCTCTCAGCACGCTGACAACACCGGTGTTTATGGGGGCTGAGAGCCTCCTCCTTCCCCTGCAGAAGGCAGTGGGCATTTTATCACTAGTTTTACCTATAGCAATAGCAAATACTAGCAGGCCTCAGTCATGGTGGAGCTCATTGTTAATGCTGTCTTATCCTGCCCATCATCTAAACAATATTCAGTATTTTTTTCATGTAATTTTTGCTTTCTGACCAAACTAGGATGAAGAATTTTTTGATGGTATAAAAATGTTTGGATTTTGACCTTCACCTTCTCTCTTTGAAGAAAGAGATGAAGAAAGACAGATGAAGCTGAACATGCCATTATCAGTTCTTTCTTTACTGAGCCACAGCATAATGAATTATTTTTCCCATTATATCTGTAATATTACACTTTCCACTTACAAGGAAAGCAAATAATTCTACCCACTTTTCAGTCTGTGCTTTCATCCAGGAAAGTGCAATGTCTGTGAGCCTCTCCTCCAATCTGGCCTGTTCCATGATGTTGAGATTATGTTGAAGCTGCTAGAAATAGTTTTATGTTGCTTGTAGGTGGTATTGATTTTGCTATACTATCTTTCTATTTATTTGTCCTTTAGTTTATAAGCCTTTCAAAGAAGGGATTATGTCCTTCCATATTTCTGTAGCAGGTTCTGGCACACTTTGAATACAGCAGAGCTGTAAACTGACAGTTTCTTCTGTGGCTGTGCAGCCTGGGGACAACTAACTGCAGCATGCTGGTGCACTCCCCATCCCACCAGCTGCCTCAGATGAGCTAAAGAATAGAATTTGTTGCTTGCCAAAATGAGCCTTTTTCAGTAATGCGTGGCAGAGTGAGCTACATGCAGATGTTCATGCAGATGAATAAACCTGTCCTCTCCACCCAAGCACACATACAGACATGTTCTTAATTGCTAATACAGTATTTCAGAGCACCTGATGCCCACGTTTTAATATGTATGAGGCTGCCAGACAGGTCCAGGTGAACCTGCTGCACTTCTGTCTGACCCAAGCCTATTCTGTCAAGGACCAAAATTGCTAAGTTTATTCAGAGTAATGAACCAATAGCAAAGTGAGACTCAAAGCTGCTATCTAATTCATGAGAGCTGTGCAACAGTGTGGGATTACTAAAGGTCATCTGAGCCCAATAAAGAAAGCTGGAGTTCTCTGCTATGAGATACACTCTGTAGTAAAATGTAGCTGGATAACATAGCCAGATTAAAAGTGTGAAACCTGTCCTCAGGCTTTAGTATTTTTTTTTCACTGCCATATCACAAGTAGATATTGCACGTTACAGTTGAAATAATTTTTCAACATATCACTATGTCATGAAAGCACTGAGCTTCTCTCTGACAAGGAATTGCTCTCTCTGGAGCGTCTTGCAGTGAAGGAGGGGGTGGAGCTCTCTATTAACAAGTAGGTCAGGATAACTGTTCCTTTTCATTTTGTACATCATGCCCTGTATGCTTATGACTGCTTGCAAAAACAAAAAAATACTGGTGCTCGCCAACAACTTCATTAGCACCGTCCTTGAATGGTTTAAGGCCTACTGTGTTAACATTGTACTTCTCTCGGAGCAGAGCCATTTCCTTACCCTTCCTCAAGGCCTCTTTTTCCATTCCTTCCTTGAATGTGCTTAGAACAGCATCCACCTCTTTCAGGTCCAGAAACCCAGATGCATTCTTGTTCCACTTTTCAAAAAGTGCTTCCAAAAGCAGTTTTCGATGGGCCAAGCGAGAGGTGCGGCGAACCTACAACAGAGAAAGAGCTGGTCTTTGAGAACTCCTGGACACTGGAGCTCAATGTCTACACAAATATGGAAACTGCAGCAGTAGGCTGATCATAGCCCCTGTGTGTCAGGCCAAATCTATGTAAATACATAGCTCAGACCTAGAGATGAATCGGTAAACCTGGGAGATTGGAAACACTAAACACCGCTGACAATTTTATCAGGTAGAATCAGCTCTGCAGAGGGCATTTCCCAGTAAATGAATGAAACCCTTGATGGGCCTGAGGCGAGATCAACTCAGGTAAGTGGAAGTTTCCCAGAATACAAATGTCTTCACAGCAAGAACTAACCAGAGGCTTGTTAGTAATACCCAAAGATTTCACAGTTTTTATTTCCATACATCACTTTTGCTGGCACTGCCCTGAAGTGTGTGGGCTCCGAGGAAACGCATGTGCAAGTTGTCCTTTAAAACCAGTCTCTGCACAGCATACAGTGATAAATGGCTAGGAGTGGAATTGTCTCAAAGGCCAAAATACTGGCAGCGTGCTGTGCTGAGCATGAGGACAGTAGAGCCGTCAGATCCAATATCTCATCCAAATTAGGTCAGCAGCGCAGAGGGAAACTAGAAAGAGGTCTGAGGAAAATGCAGCTAGAGAGGCTACTATGGACAGACCCACCATGAAATCCATACATATACACATATATTCTGAAGTGATACGGGGCAGCCTCGTGCTGTGCATGAGAATGTTGCTGAAGGGGAATGTATTTTTTCCAAACACATAGCAAGAACACCTCGTTCCTTAAACGCAAAGAAATGTGCACATTCGCATATACCCATGCACATAAGCAAAGCAGAATGTTGAAGGGTTGTTTTAAAGCCCTCCTCAAAACATCCACAACCTCATATGTACATGCCAGCATAGTAGGTCAGACATCAGGTTCTTGGCTATTATAAAGGTGAATAAGCAGAACAGAATGTTTTGAGTTCTTTCACGGTTAACTATCAACCTGCTGTCTCACTGGTTCCAGACATAGAACAGACAGACAGCCTCCTACAGGATGAGTCTGTCAGCACTGCTAGAGCTAAGGGCTAAGGATGGTGAATCCATATCAAAACAAAGGGGCAGAACATCTCTAGAAGAAATACAGAATGCAAGGCTGCAAGTGAAAAGCTCTGCCAGCAAGAGATTAAAAGCTGACTTTGTAATTGCCTCTAGTTGTTTGCTTGTTTGGTTTTTTATTTTGTTTGGACTTGGGACCAGCAAATCAATATTTACCTTTTCTAGTTGTTCAATTTTTGATTCTTCTGTCTGTTTGTATTCTTCTTTGATAAATTCAATAAGACTCTTCACAGTAGGCAGAGGAATGTCTTGACCAACAAATGTCTCCAGGAGTTGAACAAATTGTGGCAGGTTGAGGCAGTGTTCATCAAAGGCACTCCTAACACGAGATGTACAACGGTTCTGAATGTCTGCCATGATGGGACGTAAGTCTGAAAGGCAGAAAGCACAGTGTGTCGCAGGAAGCCAAATGCTGCCCTAAAGCCAGCCATGTGACAGTGGCAGTCCTGAATCCTGTGCTTCCTAGGCAGCAAAAGTATGGCTAAACACAGACTGATTCCATGCTGACTAAAGGCCTTAATCTGTTTGGACTTTTTAATGTGCTCTCTTCAGATTTTTGTTCCAGTCTAGCACGGATACAATCATACAGTGAGGTCAAATCACTGAATACAGGTGAGCCGAAATTATTGTTATGGAGAAAGTAGGCTGTTGAGAATATGACTACACTGCTCTCTTATCTTGAAGCCAGCCTTAGCAATCATTGTTTATATTCTGGACAAAACTCAGCTCACAGCATGTCTACAGACTCTGCCAATCTCCATGTGCCAAGTGAAAATACAATTTTGTAACCAAATACCTGCAAATCTGGTGTCCTCACAGATCCACTCCTCTGGAATTCTCTCTCCATAGCTGCTATACTTGAAGCTTAGGTCAAAGGTGAGAAGGTCACCTGATGAGACAAAATAGAGTCTGTAATGATATAATCTTTTAAAATAAGCATAAGGTACAGATTTACTAAAAGCTGTTAAATATATACACAAAAACTATAGTTTCTAAAGCAGGTGAAAAGATCTGACCTGAGTACTCACCTGACCATGGCAGTTCAAACTCCTGGCCAGCTTTAGCCTGAGAATCCTGTCTGTCTGAATAAGCTGGACCTGCAATTTTAAAGAGAAATCTTCTGTGAACCAGAGCTTAATAGTCTGACCAGCCTGCTGATTAATATGTAAGATATACCACCGAGTCTCTGGAGCTACTCTTGTTATCAGTAGCTATTTACTGTCTGGAAACACCGTGTTCCTGAAATTCACCTGGTGACTATTACATTTCTTGAGCCCAGCTACAAATATCAACCTTAACAAGAGCAATTAGATAGCTTCTTTTCCAGTGCAGATGCAAAATGATATTCAGACTTCTTATTTCTATCTTACTCTCAAAGAGTATTCTACCATCACCCCATCATTTCTGTGAGAACAGAGCAGGTATCTGCTCTTAAGCTGGCAGTACTGCCTGCCCCAAACAGTGCAGGATGTGTGCATCCAGGGACTGGCTGAGTGACAGGCTCGTGCTGTGCGCTGGAAGTTAACCATGGAAAGCTGTAGGTTCTAGTGGGCTGCAGCTATCAGCTTTACAGTCCCTTATGTAAGAAGTCTGTAATTAGGCTGCTCTGGCAATGTAGACCCAGTTCTTGCAGTTTTAAACTGTGAGATGCAAGAGCGTATTAACAGAGCACTAGCAAGGAAGTTGGTCCTTGAAGTATGTTTAAGAAAGCACCTATTATGAAATATACAGTTGCCCAACAACAGCCTTCCTAGAACAGGCCTGTGTATACACTTGAGAAGGATGGTATTCCTTTGGAGACACAGTGAGAGATTAAAACAAAAGTTTCCTGCTGCATGATCCAATAATATATCCTCCCTATGGGCAATCACATTCTAAAGATTATTAAAATAATTTCATATTTAATGTTCTTAGGCTCTTGTCTTGTTATGGTAGTATTACAGAGTGAAACAGAACATAATTTCTCCTTATTACAAAAATGCTGATGCTTCAGAAAGTCCCTACTTGAATTAAAGTGTCTGCTCAGTGCCTTGAATATAGATCAGCAGCACAGTGCCTCACCTGCTGTCCTGTGGGAGGAACACTGAAACCCCGACAGAAAACACCATACTGAAGAGACACCAAAGCTTTTAGTCTTGAAAGTACCAAAGCTTTTAGCCTTGTCTATTCAGAAATCACTCACATGATTGCACTGGTTTTGAGATGGATTAAAAACACACCTACAGGCGTATGTTTAAAAAGATTAAGGTCTGCCACAATAAAGGAGAACCCTTTACCTTTACCCTGGTCTTGCAGGTCCTCGTCTTGCAGTCTTGTCTCTGAGCTTGTCTGCTGTCCAAACTGGCCGCTGTGTTCACTAAGAGAACTCTCTTTCCTTGCAGCAGTTTCTTTCACAGCCTCTGCAACTGGAGCATCCTGTTTTGAAGCAATGACATCCATGTCTGCCACAACTCTGTCTTCAGAGGTCACATTCATAGCTTCAGGTGTTGGTCCTGGAAGTGTGTTGGTTGCCTCTGCAATCCATTTGTCCCCCTCCCTACTAACTTCCCTTCTAAGACAGGTTCTCTGCTCAATATATGGTATTTTTTTCCCTATTTACTTCTGTAGCAGGTTCACTACCCAGGCTACATTCTTCCTCTGTCTGTTTTTCAGATCCAGGTTCATCTCTACTGAGATTATAATCAGCAAAGGCTGATCCTAGCAAGGGTTCCTCCTGTCTGCACTTGCAGACTCAGTTTGCCTCTCAGTTTTGGTGTATTCATGGAAACTGGTTTTCTCACAATGTATTACATCTCCATTCAAATCACTACATTCAAAATCAGTGCTTTTCACCACTGATAGTTTCTTAACCTTCCTTTCTCACCTCAGCATCACTTGATTCTGCTGCTTGTTTTTCTTCCTTAGAAATTCCTCCAGTCTCAGCTTCACTCATGTCCATTTGTTCAAGAGGACTTTCACTGACACTAGTGCTCATTTCATAACTGCCTTGGCTATTGTCACCTACAGGTTCACATGGTAAAATCTCTCCCTCGGAAATCTCTGCTTGAGACAAGACTAAATTTTCACTGAGTTCCTCACAAACTTCCTGGTCATGAAGGTCTCCCCAGAAATCTGCAAGCTCAATCTCTTGCAGTTCAATTATTGGCCCTAATGTAGAAAAAAATAGGTAAGTTTATAGTTTGCTTGGGTTTTGTCCTCTATTATTGCAAAAGAAATAAGAAAAAAAAAACAAAAACAAAGGTATTCCCTAGCAAACAGAAATTACAAGTACCTGCTGCAAACATGCATCCCAGAAAATCAAAACTTCAGAATAGTATCTTTGCTTGCAAAGTACTGCTCTTTATTGTCTATTACACCGTGTTTCTTTTGAAATAGTTTTTCATAATTCTCCATACTAAAACTGAAAGCTGTAATTTGCCTTACATTTGATCCCACCAATTAATTAATAACTAATATCTTAAAGATACTTTACTTTCATGTAGATGATTCTCTGTTGTTTGTTTTTCTTTCCTTTATTATTTCAAGTTCCAGAGAAATTTTAGTGGAAACAGGAAATTAACTTATAATAATGCACAATAAGAAAGAATTCTTTTGGGAATGTATCACAGAATCTTGTAGGAAGGAAAGGTTTGGGATGCTGAAGTATTTCTGAACAGTTTGAAAAACATTTGCAAATTATAGTGCAAAGGTCACAGCATCCTTTTAGGTCCATTTTGTCCATAAAACACATATTAACTAGACAAATCCATATGACCTAATGTTTCACCTCCAATTGGAACATCCCATATACTTACACTGTCTTGGGTTACAGAATCTCCTCTTAGCACTCATGGGGCTTCTGTCATAGAATTCTTCCAGCAGGGCAAGAATTTTTTGTCTGTCTAAGAGACCAACCTAGACAAAAGGATTACAATTACTGATTCTGGATTTTTTTCTCTAGTTCTTGGGACTTGAATCAACCTTTGTAGCACTACAAAGGCACCACATATCAGCTAAGAATTACATGTGGCTAAAAATTATCCATTAGCAGAACATCAGAACAAATTTCAGAGAAATCAATTTATTTTGTAAGGACCAAATTTTCTTCTCTGGGTTAGCTAGGACTCCTCATGTATATTACTTTGCAAGCACATTCTTTTGCATATCCTTGACAAATTGCAGTTAGATGGTTGTGACTACTTCTGCCAAATGAGTTCTGCATATAAAGATCAAAGAACCAACATTTCATACTATCAAGATAAGTATTGATTGCCTGACAGTACTATGGAAGATTTTCACTTATTGTGGGCTGTGCTGTATTATATTAGTAGCTGCACATTGTGGTTTGGTTTTGTGCCCCATCATTTTCATTGAAGCATTATGTATGGGAAAATAATTAGTTGAAAAATCTAAGCTATTATTACAACTTCCCTGATTTCCTTTAAAAATTCATACACAGATGACCACAGAGGTGAGAGAGGCATCAGTAGTTCCAGTGCAGAGGCAAGCAGAGAGTTTATTAAATTCTTGTTGCTCAGTGTGAGTGTGTAGAGACAATAAAACCAGGAAAAGACAATGAAATGGGTCATTTTCAATCAGAAAATTGTGAGCTTTAAAAGTAAAGCAAATCTAAACAAATGCAAATTTTCCATTTTACGATGAACTCCTGTTGTCATTATTTCAGTCCCATCACCTTTGTAATCTCCCTTCCATTAATGGAATACGGTAGTTCATTAGAGAAGATTTACTTAAGTACTTTAAGATTTACTTAAGTTTATCTGTGGCAAGTAGCTTTTCTTTTGTATTATTGATTATTATTTTTCTTTTTCACTTAGAGTAAAAACTGCAAAATGTAAAATTCACCACGCTTGTAATTATGTCGAAACTCTTCCTGTCCTTAACTTGAAGAAATAACAGAAGAAGTTTGCTGTTCTTTTCTGGAAACGAGCTCAAGATGACTGCGATGTTTATAATCCAAAACTGTAAGTAGTGGCATAAATATAAGGATCAGAGCATTTGAAAGCAATGGAGATACCCAGAATATACTGGTGAAGTGCCTCCCAAGTAGGCTAATTCTGAAAAGTAAGTAAATACATCACATTTTCTATTACTGTGACACCTTTCCTCCAAAGCAGATTGAAAGATTTTTGCAAATTCTGAGGAAAGGAACAAACCAGAAATGTAACCAACTATTCAGTCTAGTTTTAGTCTTTCATACTTCATACTTTCATCTCCCTGGCTTCCTAAGTTTATTAGAAAAAGGTCACATTTCTTTGCACTTCATGTATGACTGGGGAAACTGATTAAAGATTCCTGCATATCAGCCCCTTGTACGAACTCTTGTTTATCAGTAGGATAGGTACAGCATCCACTATAAATAACAGCAGGCCATCTGTGTTTGTACAACTGCCCAAAATTTGCCTCCACTTTTAACTACTGCCAACTGCAGAGGCTGGAGAGTTGAAACGTGTTGACCTAATTTCCTTGTCACCTAAATGTTGGCAGGTGATGATCCTCAGTTGTTTTCAGCAATGCTGTAGGATCTATGAGCAATTCCTTTATCAACACAGACTAAACCAGACTTGCCATTTAATCAATGATAGGTCAGTATTTAACTGCTTGATTGTTCTTCTGGAAACATAATATGCATATCTTCACCACCACAATATGCTTGTTAGTGAGTAAGATGGGAACACACACTCATGAAAGGTCATGAGAAAGCAGACTTTGTTGTTGTACTGCGAGGAAGGTAATCAGAAGTGTCTCAAACTGCATTAATTTGAAAACTAATCTCTGATTAGAATCAGTTACATTTAAAGGTCTTGGGCTTAAAATGTCCCTGAATATTAATACAGATTCTGTTATAACGTCAAGAGAAATTATACTTGACACACGTGAGCACAGAGACGCCATAAGCTTCAAATTCAAAGAGCCATTTCCTTTTTGGGCATTGGAGCAGTGATTCAACTGCCTTGGAAAGTTACTGCTTCACTACACAGTCCAGGCTGTTCTGGCTGAGCTGCCATCCTTCTGGATGCATGCATTTGAAATCATAATAATGATCATGTGGATACCTTCTAATTTGACTGTAATTTAAACACTGCTTTCTCAGCTCCCTGGCCCTAATTGCGACTCACTGAGACAGCCAGCCACACTCACCACGCAGACTGGAATAACTGCCTGCTGCCAAACAAATGTAAATTAGGAACTGAAACAACTGCTCTGCTGTGCTTTGCAGAATGAGTACTACAGGTAATGGATCACATTCAAAATGGTAGAAGTCCTTGGGTTAGTTTGCATTTTTTATCTCGCCTGTGGGTACAGTACAGCAGGACTTATTAGCACTATACAAAAGAAACCAGGTCAGGTTTAAAAGAACTGCGTGGCCCACGCTACAGTTTAGCACACTCAATTTGGAGAGCAAGTCTACCTCAGAGGCTACAAACAGCAACCAAGTTTGTGCTGTGGTAAGTTTTTTCTGCGCAGTGATGGTGTCTGTGCTGAGAGCTGCTCAGTCTTGTTATGTTGTACTAGCATTTCTGGCTCTTTGCAGCTGAGATTCCACTGGGACTAGCTGCATGGAGATAGTGATTACTGCCACCAAAATAGTAGGAAGAAAGTCACATTAAACCATGAAAGGGAAAGAAGGGAACCTTTCAAAATGCATAGCAAAAATAGGACGCAGCTTTATATACTACTCTGCCTGGGAGAATCCACCATAGCTCTTTGTGCTTGACAGAGCAATAGGCAAATGAAATGTCTTCTGACTGAGAAGTAGACACATTTCTTTCCTCATCCCTAGAATAGCAGCTCACCACCATCCTCTAAAACATGTCATTGGTGTTGAAATGTGCTCTGTAATTCCATTCTCTTAGAGCTAATGACATTATTAGCATGACATTGTAGAGCACAGTTCATTCATTCTGAGTAGGCATGATGTAAAGACCACTCTACGAGTGCTGAATGGAATATATAATATATGTAGAGGAGAAACCTGCAAGATCATGGCAACTGTTTACTGTGTAGTAGCCAGCAACTGGCTAACTGAGGCTACTCAAATTAAGTACCATAATTTTTGCACAAAGACCAAGCTTTTAGCAATAGTTCGTCATTGATTCTTCAGCTTCTACTATTGCTAGTTTTCTAGTAAGTCTAGCTTTTTTAAAATGGGGATGCAGGTGTATTCAGGGAATGACAGATAGAGATAAGAGCTGTTGAAAACCAAATTATGGCTTTTGAATTCCATTTCCAGTTCTGTAACTGACTCATTGTATTTTAATTTCCTGTCTATAAACTGCAGCTGAAGTTCATACTACTTACCTCAGAAAGGCGGTATGGATAGATTATTTTGCATTTTAACTTTATACTTTGCTGAGATTTTTTGATATAAGGCCTGAATATGTATAAATTAATACATCCCAATTAATGCAATACAATATATGTAACTACTGTAGTAATAAAAATTTAAAATTCTAAAAGTGCTATGGGAACAGGTAACAACCAGTAGTAAAGTCTGTGGTTAATTTCTTCTCCAGAATCATCAAACACCAGCCAGTTATCATGTAAGGTCATTTAGTCTGTAGATAGCCACCAGTTTATAGGCTATTGGTATTTCTGTGTTTAAGTAAGAACTATGAATTTGAAGACAACACAACAGCTATTGCCCTCTAAAATAGCGCTAAGTAAGTGCAAAGAGTACCTGGAGTCATAAAGAATAAAAAGAAGGCAGTGACCCAGAGAAATACCAAAGTAGAAGCATCATCATATTGAAATTAGGCTGAGAACTGCTTTGCTTACCTTTCCATAATCACAATCTAGGAAGAGATCGGTAAACATTTGCCTCCACATATCACATCTTATGGCTTTCTGGAAGTTAAGAGCACACTGACGGAGATGCTTCAGAATTTCTTGGAACATGTCATTTGAAAAATTTTCAGTGTAGGAATGGACATACTATGGAGAGAAAGCAGTAGTGTAAATCATTAGCTTTCTTTGAGTATTTTCACCGCAATTTGAACTCTCAAAAATCTATCATGTAATGAAATATAAAGGAAATTATTTTGTGGATCGATCTGCTAATGTGATACAAACTCGGTGTATGGCTGCTACACTGCTTACTTTGTTCTTTCTTTCAGAAGCAGCAATATTCTCCAGACAAGCCTGGGATGCTGCAGCGCTTAGGCACTGTACAAATGCATATCAAACAGTTCCTTTCCTGGCCCAGAAACCACTTCCCACTTTAAGTTGTTCAGAGATGCTGGATCAGAATCTCTCCAGCAATGCCTAAGGCAGGTTATCTCAGGCAGGATACGAGTTCTCCATGGTTTTCTGCAATGTTTAGTATTCCTGGCTTTACTCCCAAGGAGGCCTTTTGAGACGTTTGTTTTTGCAGAACTGACACTCAACTCTCTCATGCCACAAAATGACCATTGCCTGCAATTTCAGTGTTTAGAGAACCACTCTGAATACAATAAAAAAAAGGAAAGAACTTTTTGAATGTGAGCCTTCTGTCACCTAAGTCCTCTGACACTGGGAATACTACTGACTTGAGATTTATTTTAAGTTCTAGCCTTGGAGACACTTTTAACGCTTTGGATTTATAGCCATGTGGTTTTTATGAGCACAAGCAATATGGTTCTAAAAATGTGGTGTGCATGACATAAATAATAAAGGCCATCAGAACAAACCACAATCCCAAAGCCTGTGCTGAATTATTATAGCAGGTTTCTACAGCCAGCCACAGTAATAGGGAGCCTATACAGTTAAAAGGAAGAATTTGCAAAACAGAAAATGTTCCCCATTATCCCATTTTTAGAGTATGGATACCTGACATAAGTGCTAGAGCATCTTGAACTTGTTGAAATGCCACACGGGCACTAACAAACTGAAATATTAATATACTTGTTATTATTCATGCCTGTATTGCATAATTCCCAAATATATGGGACAAGTGGAGAAGAGAGGAAGAGCAGAAAAGCAGCAGCCAATGGCCTGAAGAGTGGCTGGTGGGAAAGAACAACTCCTAATGCAAAGTGTGTTTTTTCTGCATTTCAGCATAAAAAGAAAGGATGTAGGTGGGTTGGAGAGAAGGTGGCAGATCTGGGGCTACATGAATCTACTAGCTTTTCAGAGCTATTGCAGCCTGGAACCCTGTGACAGATGAACCTTGAAGATGACAGCAGCTGGGAGGAGGCAGGTTGGACAAGCAGCTTGCTATTTTCTATGTCATCTTGATGACACATACAAAGGCTCATATATTAATACTGCTGTCTAACAGCTCCACAGAACATTTTTTTGAAGCGTATGTTCAGCTATGTGGGCAGGAGGAACTATCGTAGAGTTATAAGCTTTTCTTAGCTGATGTGTGTAAAGCACTCTAGAGTGTAAAGTGCTGTACACACAATAAACATACATTTATTTATTCTTAACCAAGAGATTTTGACACCTATCAGAAGAAAGCTGGGACACTTCCTAATGCTATCCAGTGTGAAACTTCAAGGTAGTTTGTAAACACATAATCATCAATAACAAAGGGTCAGCTAGTCTTTGCTTTTTATCACTACTGATCTCACTAGAAATTGAGTAAGCCACATGCACTCCTGGAAAACCATCTCACCTGTAAAGCCTGATTTGGACCCTACAAATGTAAGTATTTATCTCGGTGTCAAAAGCTTTGTCAGACTGCTGGAAGTTCCACGTTTTATAGTACAAAACCTGTGAAATAAACCATTGAGGACTGGTCTCTGGGATCTAAATGTTTCTTAATATAAAAGACCTGACCAGCTTATCAGCAAGGAGGCAAAAATACAAGGAGCAGCCACTGAGCATGTCCAGCAAAACAAAACAAAACAAACAAAAAAGCCACCAGTGTGCACCAGTGTGAGGCTTCTCTACTGAGTTTCTAACAGCCTTTAAGTAACCAAAAGCTGCATTGAATTTAAGGAAGGAAAAGAAAAAAACACTAATTTTAAGGTACATTAAAAAACAATGCTTTCTACATGTGAAAAGGGCTAGACCAGTGTGGAGAAAGATCACCTCTTTTTCTGGTTTTGGTGGATGATGCAAACTGATGACCAAAGGTAAATTGTAGCTGAGGATTAGAAACAGCACTATCCTCAGAATGAGGTCTATGATTATGGAAGCATTTCCCAAGGGAAGTGATGAAAGCCTCATCATTCGATTCAATTAAAACCAGGCTGGAAAAAGCATCAGAGAGTATATTCCGAGAACAATGTTGCACTGGCTGGTAAATCAGACAGCATGACAGTCCATGTCTTTCATATTTCTGATCTCTGTTCTCACATTTTTAATTGAGTTAAAATAAAGAGTGCACAAAATATATTTCAAAACATTTTTGCTAATGTTAATGTATTATGAATTCATTCTGTGCTTATACACGTACCATAGAGTTATGGATTGATGCTTCATTTCACTGACTACAGCAATTCTCTGGGCTCCCATTATCCACAACAGTTTCCTTAATTAAATGCAGTTATTCTGAGGTTAAATTAAAAAAAAAAACTCATTTCATGCTTAAAAAAGCCTTCAACAAGTTATTATAAAAATGCATCTTTGTGCAAAATACTGAACGTGTGAGTCTCCTGAGAGTGAAGAAGGCACAAAAATCACACATGGCTGCTTGAAATTAGTCTCTGCACAGCTGCTTTATTCTCTGTTTTTAATTATTGTAACTGCACCCACTATACTGCTGCAGTTGAGGGGCTGTCATTATTTCTATTCCAAACATCCCTTTTCACAGGTTTAATAACCTCGCCATAAAATTTAGCTCTGTCATAGGTAGAAACGGATGGCAAAGTCTTGGCCTGGAGAGCTTTTCAGTAATGTAGTTTGAACTGATATGGTTGTTTTCAAATTGATGAAGAGTAATGAGGTGAAACTTCCAATCACTTTTCTTGATTTTGGTGAGTTAGAAACACACTTCTGATGTTTCTCATTGACAGCTTTTGATTTTAAAACTGCGTATTTTTCATCCTGATTACTCTTTATGGACATTTTTGACATTTCTTACTGTCTGGTTATGGTTTACACCAGTTCAGGGCAAAAATGAAAGTACTGTGACAGTAGAGAATGGATACAGAGATGGAATATGAAATATCCTAACACAACCAGTTACCTGGGGTGCTGGAGAAAACAGAAGCCCTTCAGTTACTCATCTTAGCTGTCCACAGGGAAATGATACTACTTTGTGATAAATATCACCTTCTGAATCAGATACTCTTATTTCATTTCTCACCTCTGTGAATTCATCAATGTTTACTTTCTGTTCCAATGTGTCTATGATTTCCAGCTTCCTGTCATAGATGGCTAGTAAAAAATTAACAGATATTGGTTTAGAAAGCAAGCAGCCATGGTTTAGCATATTGCATACATTTTTTTTGCATGTTTTATGTTACATTCACTTTCTTTTCATGTTGGATTACATTTGTTTGAGGCTATTTTACACAATAGCTGAAAAATTACAAGGATCTCAAGCATCTGGCTGTATAAAGGCTATCTAAATCTGATCCTTACTGAGAATATTTCTCTTGTTGAGAATCTACACTTAACTATTCAGTGCTGTATGGTCATATTTATTCTTGATATATGCTGGTGAAAATAGCAATGATTTTAACAGCAGTTACCACTAATTAATTATGTGAGGGAAGAAATTATTTTTGATTTAGCAGATAAAACTGCCTGAAAATTCTGGGGACATCAATTCTGCCTTGCAAGAGTGGAATCTGAAAATCAGAGTAATTTTTCCAAGAAACTCTGCAGGAAACATTTTACTGATTATGCTGTTCAAAGCTACCTGTTGGTCAGCTCCTTGACCGCTGTAAAGGAATGGAGAAGCTACACCACATGTCTGCACGGATTTCTTAATGAGGTCTTTGAGCACAAACACGCTATTTCTGTTGGGATCATTTTTCTGCTCTTTATTCTACAAGACCTCAGGAATAATGAGAAAATTCCCCATAGAATGCACTTATCTCTTGTTGCTTAAGACATTCTGAAACTGTACAATATCTCTACCAAACTACAAAAAAAAGCTTAATGTTCCATTAATATATATTGAATGCTACTAAATTAAATTCACTGAGAAATGGAGCAGCACATTAGTGAAATCTGACATGAAGCATCTCCAGAATCTGTGGAGCAAGCACCCAGACAGAAACTTCCATATGAGTTTCACACCCCAGGAACTGTTCATACTCAAGAACTCCAGGACCACAGCCACCACACCAGGAGTGTAAAGGCTCTGTTTGGCCACCTACATGATGTGCTACCAACACGGGATGACGACTCAGAGGGACAAATCTGTAATACAGAAAGGCCTGAGCAAGGGCAAGCTCTACACAGAGGTTACTTCAGCAGCAAGCAGAAATACCCTCTGGAGGTGCCCTGATTATTATCCCAACTCCCAACAAAGGCAGATTTGTTATTATTGATGATCATTACATGCTATCTATGTAAAGGGCTGGCAGCAGGTTGAATGTTGCCACTTCACTGTGTCTGGCTCTATCCATCCAGTTATCATTATTCAAAGAGGTCAAGTGTGAGCTATAAAGTGGACAGGATTTATGGAAATCCCTTCTGTGCTGAGTGCTTTGATACAGAAGTCCTTGTGCTGGGACTGGCATGCCTTGGACTGGCAAAGGGAATGGCTAGACAAGATGTGCTATTTAGTGGAATGGTTCAGTCTCTTTCCAATCTGTCTCAAGATTATTGATTGATATACTTCCTGGTGTAACTACCCTTACAGATCCTACATCAATTATCAAATTCATTCATTGTTTGCTCAGTTTGCATTAGAATTCAGGTCACAGAAATAAAACTAAAGAAGAAAGACACATCAAAAATTTACCTTCTCTCACATCCATGGGAGCAGAAGCAACGACATCCAGGAAAGACCTCAGTGCACTCTGAATCTACAAATCAAGGTAATAGTCAAAGGCCTGCTTCATGCAGAAAAATGCAAAAAAGTAAATCATGCTGAATAACCAGTCATGTGGGAAAATCACACTTCTTACCACAAACAAGTAGGTCCTGTTAAATGTAGACTTTGTCTATGACATGCTCTATGTAACCATAGGAAGATTTTCTAGGGGACTTGTGTGACTTTTAAGGAAGATGCACTGCCAATTTCTATGAGTCTCGGGGCTAGAAAGGAGATTTAACTGGGGCCACAGGTGAGCAAGACCCAGGTCTTTTAAGGGGATTCTGAAGGACAGCCAGCTGCACAGAGGGACATCCAGAGATAAGGTAGGTATCCAGCAACCTCGGGAGTGTCCAGGTAACTCACAATCCATTTAGCCTCCCACACAAACCTCTGTGGAGAACACACTGCAAGTCCTTCCACGTGCTCAGCTTGGTGAGGGTGTGCTAGACACCGACCTGCACCCTGATCCCAAGGGATATCAGAGCCATTACCCACCCTTCTGTTCCGCTTGCTGCCATTCCAGGGCAGACTGCCCAGATTTCCTTTTTCTGGAACAACTGTAGCAGTGTTAACAAGATCAACCCTAGTTACCAGTGCAACTGGTATTCTGCCACTGATATCCACTGTCCACTCTTTGAATTGAATTGCCAGCGCCTCCTTTCTCATCTCTTTCTGCTCAGACTTCATATTTTCCACCTGTTCCCTTTCCTTACGTTTGGTCTTTGCCTCAGCCTTCATCCTGGCCAGCCTGTAGGACATAGGCAGATGACTTAGAACAATACCAACATAAACCAGCTTTAGTAAGCTAGATGAAACCTCTCCCGAAGAACAAAAGGAAAGGAAATAACTTACTGAAACTCTTGTCCTTTAGCAAAAGCAGACTTTTTCTCCAAAACTGTACTTGATATTTGGGGCACAAAATTACTAGTGTTGTTACTGCACTAGAGACTAGTGATCTGTGTTTTCAGAGGGCAGCTCCGAGATGAAAATATTTATATCCTGACATATATAATCTCCTGAAATCTAGCGTAACTGTGAATCTGAAGAAATAACTTTTGAGTATCAGATATGTGCATGTGGAAAAAGTGCCTTGTAGAGTATACAGTTGACATTTAAGGGAAAATGATTTGTACAGCTCTTCTAGTTTATGTGGTTTCAACAGTGATAAATTTTACCATCAATGCTTGCAAACATTTATAACGGCATTAATCATCCATTGTATAGATGTCTTTCAATTTTCTCTCAATTTTAGCAGGCACGGAGGTGCCTAATTTTGCCTCACTTCATTTACCAACAAAATTGCATCAGTATGCGTTTGTCTCAGCGCCTAAGTACCATTTCACACAAGCACTTCACTGGCAGAGAACAATGTTCAATGAAATTTCTGCAGCGAGGGTAACTCCTCACTGCAGAATGAAACATGTTCCTTCAGGAAGACAGCCGCCTAACTCCCACACAAGGATGGGTGACTCAGACTGAAGGACTACCAGCCCTGGACAAAATAAAGTCTCTGCTTCAGGTATCAATCTATTTAGATCAGGAATTTCTCCCATCTGTTCTCCCTCATTTCTTGTCTCCCACTCAGGTTGTAGTTAAGGAGAGACTGGAGGAAGCCTGAGGAAGGATTGGTAAGCTTTAAGTATGAATCTGCGGTGAAATCCTGCCTCTGCTGAAAGTAATGCCAAGGCTTCCAGGAGTTTCACTGGGACCAGAATTTCCCTCTTCATTTTTCTGGTGCTTATGTGAGAGATTTTGAGCCCAGACTGGCATTTCTCTCTAACGTTTTCTTTCTGTTTGGAAAGCCAGTGACTCTCGTTAGGAGTCTCAGGACTACATGGAGTCAAGTAAGATCCTCTGTGCTGCTCTAGTTCGAAAATCCTATGCAAATTCCACAACACAGCCATCACAAATATGTAAATCCTGAGCTACTGAGAATGCAAATCCCACGATGCTACTACCAGCCGATATGCCAACCCTACTACAGCTATGGCTACATAAACCCCCTTGGCAGCACTGCCTGCGAAGAGACTGATTTGTCAAACCCTTGAAAGACGATTCCTGTGCAGCAGTTCTGGAGCTTCCATAGCTACAGAGAACCTGTCTCCAAATGCCAACATGAGCTTAACAAGATAAGCCAAGACATGTCACGGGTAGCCAACACTTTGTATTCTATAGGAAAAACCAACCTCTCCAGAAATAAGCTCTGATTCACAATCCTAACAAACAAACAAACAAAAATCTTTTGAAAATCTTTTACCAGCTCTGGTTATGCTGTTGGAAGTCTGTTTATGAAGAAAAGACAAAAAGCTGGGCTAGCTCACACTGACCATGATCGGTCAGTAATATTTACTTCTATCTGCGGGGAAAAAGGGGGTAAGTGACTGCACAAAATTCACTTACCAAACTGCTTTAGTTGAATTCATACAGGACATATTCCTATGAGCTATAACTGATGTGGACTAGAAATGTAGGGAGACAAACTCAGAGGTGGAGAGAGATATTTAACATACTCTTTTATAACCCATGGGGTAAGACGAGGGGAAATGGCCTCAGGTTACTCCAGTGGAGGTTTAGGTTGGATATGAGGAGAATTTTCTTTACTGAAAGGGTTGTGAGGCATTGGAATAGGCTGCCTAGGAGAGTGGTTGAGTCACCAACCCCGGAGGTCTTCAAGAAATGTGCAGATGTAGAACTTAGTAGCATGGTTTAGTGGTGGACTTGTCAGTACTAGGTTAAAGGTTGGACCAGATGATCTTAGAGGCCCTTTTCCAACCTGAGTGATTCTGTGATTCATTATAATACTGGGAACATCAATTATCTTCATTTAGAGTCTATGTATAAGTCACGTCAACATTTTACTTCCCTAATTCCTCACACTGAAACCCTGAAACCAATTTTCAAGCTGAATGTGGTATTCATGCAAATAGACGAGACAGCCATTCATAAAGGAGTCGTCACACCGCAGACACAGCCAGAGAGTGACCTGGTAACCATGAGTAACTCTGATATCATTTGCAATCATCTCTGGGTATTCTACAAATACAAATGTTCACTTCTAGATTTTTCTGAATAAAGCAATTAAAATGACAGCAGTATTGTTCATCTGAGGCACTCACATTTTAACGTGAGCATATTGTAAGATGCCATACAACCCTCTTTAAATATCCATTAATATTATACTAAACCAAGCAGCCTAGACTACACCCCACAAGTAAGCAACATAATAAAATACAGAACACTTTCTACTTTAAAGGGGAAAAAGGATCTGAAATGAGAACCTGAAGTAAAAACCCTATGAGAGTTTCTATCACATGCCAGCTACCTTGCCATGTGACAATATTGCCCTTGGTTTGGTCAAAAAAAATCACCTTGAAGGAGAAAAAGAGGTCACCTTTATTAAGTTTGGAAGAATATGGAGGAAACAGTGTGAAGAGTCCTTAGACCTTTGATACCAACGCCACACCTAAAGAGCTCCTGTTGCTAACCCAGACTGGTTTGCAAGTAGTTTGCATTTCACATATGTAATTAAGATAGGGTCTAAATTGGAATTATACACTCATGAAGGGCAGAATATAGCCTTAAACAAGAATGACTACTGTTTCATTGTGTGTGGCATTCTGGTGATTGCCCTGCTTCTCGAGTTTTAAGAAGGAGGCAATTACCATCTCTGGCACTGCGCTGCACAAAGTTCATTTTGTTTGACGCTTTGCCAGCCAGACTGCAGCCATGCCATGCCTTTTGTAAAACAGAGACCAGGACCCAGCTCTAATCTTGTGACCAGCCACACTGTCAACTCTCTCACCTCTCCGGTGCTGTATCTGCCATTTCAGTTTTCAGCTCCTCTGTGACCATCTTCATTCCTCTCAGGTAGGGGCCTGGCTTTGTAGAAATATCATACTGAGGGTTATGTCTCATCAGATATTCTCCAAGAAAAGTAATGGGGTCAAATTTGGTTGGTTCTTTGTCTGGTACAAGCACATTCTTTCTTTCCACTTGCATTAACAGCTTTTCCACTCCTGGGATTAATGTAGGTAGGAGTTTGTCAAGCAAATAGGTGCGAGTATCCAGTGACTCCTTCTCATCACTGAACCACTCTTTGCACAGCCAGTCGCAGGGCTCTCTCTTTTTTACCTTTTCTTCTTCTGCCTTTTGTGCCTGAATCATCTTCACCTTTTTTTCCTGCAGATTCAGAGACCTCTGCTGTACCTTTTCATAAAAGCACTCTTTCCACGGAGCACAATTACTACGACATGGCAGCTCATCACTCCCATGATTTCTCTTCATTTCTGTGGCAGTCATATTCTTACCTACAAGGCTGGGATGGTTTAGACCTGCAGTTTGAGCTGCTTCTTCCGGCTGAGCAGCCATTTGTCAATGACTGTGATAAAGAACAAAAGAAGTATGTTATATAATGCCAAAAGATGCAGCAGTGGCCTAGCAGATGACACAGGAAGAAAGTTTATAGCTAGGAATTAACCAATATTCCTTTTCTATGTGCCTATTTTATTCTCTTACTGCTGCTTTGTACTCTTAAACAAGTACAGCCCCTTTACTTCAAAGATTAGTAAATGATTTATAAAGATTAATTATGTATCACAACACTCCTTGGAGACAGAGCAACTACATAACTGTGATCCTCTTTAATGGGAGAAAAAAAAAAAAAAAAAGAGACACGGTAGAGAAGTGATTAATTCCAGGTCACTTAGAGAGTCAGAAACCAAGTGGTGAACAGTGCTTAGAAGTCTTGTCCCCTAGTTCACAGCGGTGGATTCCAATTGCCCCTAATATAATTATTTCTGATTAGGGCCCTTTCCGTGTTGCGAGGAGCTCCAGTGGATATGAGACAGAGGAAGCAAGCCAGGGAAAACACCAAGTACCTGGGAGCAACATTTCTCTATCTCCACACCACCTTCTGCTCTCCTCAATTACCACTTACTCTTCGTGGTTTCTGCAGCTGTGAAAAATCCTGAGGAAGCCTGTACCACAGACTACTCAATTTCAACTTTTGCAACTGCTTTTCTTCTGGATATTTTGTTAATGTAACAGGACACGAATATATGGGTCTGCAGAGTTCCTAAAGAAAGGGAAACTGCACTATGACCCTGAAACTAAACTGTCCACAAACACATAATTTGTATATTATTCTATAAAAGACCTGTAGAGAGTTGCTGAGATCTCCCTTTAGTTTCCCAGACTACACTGTTATCTTCTCAAAATGTTAATATTGTGAAATACCAGGAACAAACAGAATTGCTCACGAGGCACAATTGAAAAACTATTGCTATATGTGTCCATACATAACTGTCTGCAACTACAGTGGAACTTACACGGATGTACTGGAGCAGAATGTGAGCAGAACCCACTTGATTTACTGCATGAAAAATCACCAGCATGCTGTGAAAAAAAACAGCTCAGTGCTAAACAGCAAGGGATTGGTGACATTAATAGAGCCTGACTAAGGCCCTTCCAAATCAAAGATGAAACTCTGCTATGAACTTGCTGCCACGCTATTCTTTTGCAGCTCTTACTTAAAAGTGCTTTTCACCAAGGCCTTCCAGTATCCATAGAAATAACATCGCTTTCACTATGTTCTGCTATTCATATTTAAGCATTTGTGGCTGTTCTGAAGAGAACTTAGCCTTCTAGGGACTGCATAAACGTGAACTAAAGCCCTCCAGGAACACAAATGTAATTGCTAGTACGATGATCTTCTGGTTCATAACCATTGTTTGAATCCGAATATTGCTCGGATAGGTAGGATGCTTTACAGCACTGAATTTCTGTTTTCTAGATGGGATTGTTGGCATCTTCTGGTAATTTGTTTGTAATAAGCATAACCTGTTGGGAAGTGAGATGGATTTATGGATCAAGCTGCCTGCGTGACTCAGTGTTGTAACAATGGTGGCTGGTTTTGCCACTGAAGGACATGAACTGTGCAGTTTAGATTTATAATGGTAGAAAAAGAAACCTGTCAACCCTGTCAAATTGTTCCTTGCTTAGGTGAGTTTCTTTCAATCAGCTTTAAAACCAGACTCTTTCCGGTTCAAAGCAGGCTGTTAAACAAACGTTCTGGTCACGTTCCAAATCAACTTTTTTTTTCTTTTGTGCCAAAATAAACTATTCTTGCAGAATCAAATACTCATGTTATTTCTGAACATCCTTTGTGAAACCTTTCTGCAATTTCTGTGCAACGTTACGGTGACAATTGCACTCTGCTTTAGGAGGTGGCTTATTCTGAATGATGATGAACATATTTTCTACACTGCTCTGAACTATTTGTTAGGAAGATTTTGAGGATTAGCATATGTTTATGAAGTGCCTCTGTCTCTGAACAACAGAAAAACCTAAGTGCTACTGCTCTATCTTAATTCCATGGGATTGGCATATCTCCAGGAGTGGAAGCAGGGCACACAGAACTATGACAACTACTTTCATGTGGAGCAGATAAATCAGGCTACGAGGGTGTGGAAGAGCATACCCACAGCACATAACTGTTAAAATAAACAACAAAGGGGTGCTAGAATCAGGGCCTAAAACTTGGAATTTATCAATGATTGCGGGGACAAACTTCCAGTTTGTGTAAGACAACTTCAGCTCATAAATTTCAATGCTGATTTACATCAGTTGAGAATTGGGCCCATAAAATATAAAGCTCTCAAGTTCTATGACATTCCCAAGTAGAGGCTTGATTGTCCAAATAAAAGTAAGCACAGTGCACAGACACAAGCTTTAGGAGCACCCAGGAAATTTGAAATGTGATATTAAGTTTCCTGTAAGTCTTTGTTCAAGCTGAAGGCAAGATGAGCTTTTCATTATTTAGTAGGATGCCACTTTCCTGGCTCCTTTTCTATGAGAGAAATATTCTTGCTGTAAAGCCCTGCAGGTACAAAACGATTATCTCTCCATCTCCTGTACAAAAAAACAAATCTGCTCATAAATAAGATTTTTACGTTTCATTGTTATTCTGTTAGAGCATTCTGATGGGTGGGATAGGGCCAGGAAAGACTAAAATTTGTCTAGGAAAATATTTTGGAGATGTTGGAGTTCCAAAGTCCTTTCAAAAACAGAATCCAATCTCTTTGACCCTCTATGGCTCAGGAATAGTTTTGCCTTTCCCTGAAGTTCTTCATAGAGCATGTTTACCACACCTAATCACAAGGAGCCTGATACCCTTTTCACATCTGATCTTCTTTTCAATTAAAATTAAAATTAAACAAAGACTTTCTCTTTTGCTTTCTGACGCTCTAAAGAACTGCTTTTCTTACCTTTGGAGCAGGTATCAAAATAGATCTTATTCCTCCTGCTTTCAGAGTGGCTTTGCAAATGAATAGGAATTTAATATATGCCCATCTGTTCCCAGGCATTAAAAATCTTAAAGTGAATTAGGGATTTCTCAGACCTGCTGCGGAGCCAGGCTGTGAGTTTTACTCCTCTCTGTGTTTGCAGTTGCTAAGCAATAATCCCAAAGGTTGCTATGTCTCTTCCACGACTCGGAATTGCCGTAGGTTGTCTTTTGGCTTTGGCAGGCCAACACACTCTTCTGTACTGAACTTAGCTCATTGTGTCATGTGACTGAAAATAAAATAAAATAAAGACTAAGAATAGCAACAGGCAATATTAAGGGCACCAATAGTCAGAGGGAATCCACAGGTGCCCAGTGACAGAAGGTTTACCTTCAGGTTCAAGTCCAAAACTGTTGAAAGTCCCTTACGAGCTAAACTGAGGATGGTATTAACCAGATGGGAAAATCTAAGAGAGAAAAAAAAACCAAACACATGAAGTACAAACTCAATTTAAACGGACCTTTTTCAGGTTCTCCTTTTGTAAAGAACTGTACCACTTTGAAGCAGCCTAGAGGGAAAGTCATGTACAGCACTAATAAGGGGGAAGTTTATAATGCCATTTTGTTAGACTGCCTTTAAACCAGAATCTAAAGGAATTTAATGAATCACCTTTAATAATTTCTTTTATATTCATGAAGAATATGCAACACAGGGGAAGGAGAAAGGAAGAGAAAATAACATCTAGGAACAGCCATTCTGCACACTTTTATATGTACCCACATAATCAGGTGTCTGTTCAGTTATTTCATTCGTGTTATGCAGGATTTCCAACAGAGAAATTAATGGCAACTTCTGCCAGGAAATGAGGTTTATCTAATGCTATTTCTTTTGCTGTGTTTTACATTGGAAGAAGCTTGATCTTTGGATTATCTACCAGCATGAAAACTCTGAGCTGTGACTTCATGGTATCGTCATTGGAACAGCTGCACTGTTCCTACGTCCCTATCCTCTAGTAAGACTATTAGTCTCCATTTTATGGGCAGCTGAACATGTTACAAAACATAATGAGGAGATTTAATCCCCAAAATCTGATGCAGTTACTGTCAGAGTCACATTTCTTCTCCAGTTCGGGAGCTAGAGTTTTAATTTCCGAATCCAAAATGTCATTCTCTCTTATTTTCACCAAGTCATTCATTACTTGATATAGAACCCACAAAACTAAAGTAAATATTATTGAATTTGTAAAAACCTCTGGAATTGGAAATAGCTGTAAGTGCCATGCACCCATTGTCCCAACATGAACTTGCTAAAATACCTAAGCTGCACTCAAAAAATATATACTTAGTTTTGTTCCTAAAACCTGCCATGGAAGCTAGAAAGTACACATGCTGTGTACAGGCTCTTTACACAGGAGGGAATTTGCTCATAAATGACAATAACAATTGTACTTTAGAGGACAGTCAAAAGCCTCAATTTTTTATTTTCTTTTTATACTTTCTTTTCCACTACAGAAATCCCTGGTGTTTGTACTCAGCAACATTTATTTTCCTCTGTCCACCTGTGCGTATTTCAGAAACATTTGTATGGCTGTAATTTCTACAGACACCTTTGGCCATCTGTGCTAAGCGTCTCACTGAAAAAATGTTTCTTCTGGACACTCTCAAATATCACTGGAATACCAAGCCTGCAACTGCAGACACTACAACACTGACTTGATTTTTGAATTCAGTAGTTGCTTGTAGAAAGGAAACAAAGCACACAAAAAAATAATAAAATATCAAATTTAGTGTGGAAAATACTGTAATATATTATAATTCCTTTGCTATTATGATTTGAACAAAAGAAGGAAATATGCTTATTGCAGTCTATTTCCAAGGTGTGTTGAAATATAGCATTGATTATGTCAATCAAGTGAAGCAGAAAATTGATGCACGGGAATTATTTAAAATGAAGCTTTAAATTGAACTGTGCATTTTTTGATGGTATGGAACATCAATTAAAAAATACTCTCCCTTTTCTTACAATGATTTTTTTTAACCTCCTGACAAGTGCATGCAAATAGAATTTGGAAGGAGGGATGTGAGTGGTTCTGTTTTTATTTTTCTGGAAATGGAATCCTGTGGGTTAAGCAAACCTTTAATCGCACCCTATTTAACTTGGCTGCTATCTCGTAATGTTTTTGCTAAGCAAAGTGTATCCTTTTATTATGCCATCAAATACTTGCACTGTTGACAAAATAATGGACTGAATATGTCATCACAGATGTTTTGCTGGAATTGCCTCTTCTATCTTTTTTTTTGTTGTTTTTCTGTTTAAGATACATTTTGGAAGCATTCTGTTGCCTGTTGCAGCTGATGCCAAGATTACGCAATAAAAGCCCTGACACGTAGTAATAATAAGTTGCGTTAGCCAGAGAAATGTTTGCAGTACATTAAAGAAAGAAAATAGACAGCTTCAGAAATGCATACAAAGACAGACAGTGTGTAGCTTCACATCCTTCAGATGATACTCTGGGCTAGAGGTCCAGGTGCTGACCACAGTGCTTATAGCACAGGGGAGAATTTGGCCACAGGCTTCCAGTCTCCTTTATGTACCAGCCGTGATGCTGTGACCACAGGCTGCCCTCTAATCGCTCTTTTCAATCAGAATGCATCTGCCTATAGCCAGCCGCCTCCTTCACATTTAAATTCTGCTGCTACAAAACATTGCACATACAAATTATACCTTTCTAATAGCTCAAGGAGCCATTGCGATCTGTGATTATTGTAGTTAATAACTGATATGTTCAACCTTTAGCTAACTGTAGATAGCAATTCCATTATTTACTTGTGGTAAATATATTTTAGAAGTGTTCACTGTTCAAATACCTGGAAAAGCTATAGGATATCTGAATATTACACTAGAGTCTATTTTGGAAGCTGGTTTAAATAATCATTTACTGATAGTAATCCCTGCATTACTATTTCTGAAAATCCAGAATGAAACACCAGTCCCAGGTGAGGGATTTGCACGAATACTCTGGCAACTTGCAGTCCTCCACCTATACCCTGTACCAAAGTAGACACATCTGAACAGAACACGAGCTACGTGCCTTGAAGCAGCCCTGTATTTGCAGGAATCCATTTGCTGAGAACAACCCAATAAAGTAGATATCATCCTTTAGATAAAGGTGAATAGCATTAAGATTCTTGTCATATGATTGAGAAGAAAAATCTTGGACCTTGTATGTTCCCCAAACCTTCTGCAAAGGGCCTACAAAGTGATGCAGGATCATTTTTAGCTGAAAGGAAGAAGTGCTGTGCCAGGAGACAAACCACTTTGTCAGTTTCAGAGAAAATAAATCAGACAGAAAAACATAGCTAGGAGAACCATGACTGTATGTGAGTGGATGTCTTACTGGTCTAGCTGTATTATGTGAAAATGTGAAAAAAGTCATACACACTTCCATCACCTATGTGCAACTCTCAAACACAGAGCGGTCCTTTTGCTCCCAAAACTTACAGAGAAGATCCTTTATCTACAAACGGAAAAGGATGTCCGTATTTGGAGTAGCCTTTGCCAATCCATTTCTACTGTACAGACACACCAAAGACACATCTGCCTGGCACATTTCCCCACAGAAAAGATAAGGTGTTTAATAAATAAATGGGAGGGAGGGACCAAACAAGGCTGCTTAGAAAAAGACCTTGTTTTATTGGGAGGTTGTAGAATATTTAGAACATGGGGGATATTAACTTAAAAGGGATCCGGAAGGCATTTTCTTGACCTTTGTGCCATAAATCAGAGTTCACTGCTAGCGCACTTTCCATAAATATTGTGTTTCAAAATAAAAACACGATGGTTGTATGAGGCAGGACAATGACTCTTTGTTTATCCATGCTTTTTGCTTATTCTCCCCATGTGCTGGAATCCCACTGGGGGTCCTTTTGGCCTCTTTCACATCCAGGATTCTGGCTTGCTGTGCAATTCACTCTCGATGCTCAATTTTAGTCCTGCTTCCTGAGCCTGCCCTTCATCCTCTCTTGTCCACTAGGAGGCAAAACGCCTCATTAGCCAGCCTGACTTTTCCATTGTGGCAAAAGCCCAGCTTCCAGGGCTCGCAGAGCCTCCCAGATAATTATTTTGACTGCAGGGCACTGGGGGCAGAGCCTGAAGAGCTACTTACAGTGGGTCTTGTGGTGTGCAGAGTTCTGAATGAGTCCAAGTCCCTTACAGTCCTGTCAACCTGAGGAGCAAATAAGAATAATATGGACTGAGTGCTTCAGATGGGCTAACAATGGGCTAACAGGCATTTCTGACAAGGAATTTGTTCCCGTTTATATTCAGAATGGCCTCTATTTGTCGTCTGTAGTGTTTTTGCTACATACCCAAGGCAATTTTCGATCACAGTGGCAAATCTCCCCACAGATTTGGCAGCACCAGCCTGAAACCGAAGGGATGACACCTGACAGCGCCTGGCCCTTCGCCTCAGGGCCCAAAGCGCCGGGCACCACCTCATTTTGGGGACATTTTCAGGCCTAAACCCTCCCGTACGCGTATCGGACTCGCTGTGCGGTACCTTGCAGCTGCCCATTGACTTACTAAGAAAAACTTTATCCCCTTTCTGTCCCTGACAGAGCTCCCACAGCCCAACCGAGGCAGCCGCCAGGCGGAGCTGCGGCTCCCCCCGCCCCCCCCTCTCAGCAGCCCGAGGCCTGCCCCCCTCCCCCCCCCCGCTGCGGCACGGCAGGGGTTAACCCTCCTTCGCAGGCCCGGGGGCGGCTGCCGCGCTGACAGGTGGCGCATGCGCCGTGCCGCCGCATTGTGCCCGGCCGGCCCAGCCCCGGAGCGCCTCAGTCGGCCGCGGGCCGTCGGCGGGTGCGGAGCTGCTGCCCCCTGCGGCCACCTCCGCTCCCCTTCTTCCCTTCCCCTCCCCTCTCCTCTCTCCCCCCACCCCTTTCCTCCGCCTTCGCCATGGAGTAAGGCCACCCCCCGCCGGCCGGACGGGGAGCCCCGCCGCGCCTCGATGGCTCTGGTCACGGTGCAGCGCTCGCCAACCCCCAGCGCCACCTCCAGCCCCTGCGCCTCGGTGAGTCCGACCGCCCGCCGGGCGCTGAGGGCGGCGCGGCCGTTGGTGGCCGTTAGGGGCCGGTGCGCATGCGCACGGACCCCATCGCGCTCCCCCCCCCCCCCCTTTCTCCCCTCACCTCAGCGTTGCCCCCCCCCCCCCGCCTCCCCCGGCCCCGACCCCCTCAGCCCCCCGTCGTCTCCATCAGCCCCCTGTCACCCCCCTCAGCCCCCCGTCAGCCTTCTCAGGCCCCCGTTGTTCCCCTCAGCCCCCTGTCACCCTCCTCAGTCGCCCCCCACACGCCCCCGGTCACTCCCCTCATGCTCCCTCCTCATCCCCCTCATGCCCCTGTCACCCTCCTCAGGCCTGCTGTCGCCTCCTCACGCCCCCATCACCCTCCTCAGCTCCCCCTCAGGCCTCTGTCATCCCCTTCAGCCCCCTGTCACCCTCCTCAGTCGCTCCCCTCAAGCCCCCTGTCACTCCCCTCATCACCCTCCTCAAGCCTCCTGTCACCCCCTCACGCCCCCCATCACCCTCGTCAGCTCCCCCATCATCCTTCTCAGCCCTCCCCCCTGCTCCTTTGGGTCTCCGTGGCCTGGTGACAAGCAGAGGGAGAGGCCTGGGTCACCCCTGTCCCCCCCTCAGCCTGGACAAGCTGTCCCCAGGGGGGGTGGGTGCTGTCCCCCTGAACGGTGGGACCCTGGGTGGGTGCTGTCCCCCCCCTTTGTGCCTGGCTGAATTCTGATTTTGTGTGTGTATGTGAGCTGGCACCGTCGGGCATGGGTGCTGTGAGGTGATTCAACCTGACAGCACCCTCTGGGTATCTCCAGTATGCGGCCCTTCCCTTGGGAAGAGCTGTGACTTCTATCTCTCTCTCTTTTTTTTTTTTTTTTCCTTTCTATTTTATTATTTTCATCTTGCATATAATTTTCAAGAGGCTGTGTGAAGCCCGAGGCTGGCACAGATCACCAGATCTCCCATCTCTGGGTGAAACATGCAGGAGATGTTCCCAGCAGTGCCCTGAATCAGGAAGCCAGGCAGGCGACTCCAGGGCTCCTTGCTTTACACCCTCTTTAAATTCGGGCCAGGCTGGTGTTTTAGTGCCTCTGTGTTGTACAGTCCGGCACATTAACCCCTTGGGCTGCTGCCTACCGACTGCACAGCTTGTTTCTAATATTATAAATGAGGATGGGAATGAAAATAGTAAGCTTGCTTTCACTTTCTGTATGCTTAATTCTCTGTTGGCTTTTCTCCTTAAAAAACCTCATATATTATCCCACTGATGTTATGTCAGGCTTGGAAGTGCTGGGGGGGGACACAGGGTGTGAAATCCCAGTTGCTTCCATCATGTGAGGATTAAAAAAGCCAGCTACTCTGAAAATATTTCTTGTTGTGTTAGGTAACCTCTGCTGAAACTAGATCAACTACTTGACAGGTCCTGCCTGCCCCAACAGCATTTTAGCTGTCAGAACACTTTTTTTTTTTTCTTTATTTCACTCCCATGGCTCTCCTAAGATACGTTTATTTGGCAACACATTAATTTCCACTTGCGTTTCTCTGCTGTAGAATAACGTGCTGCATTACTTCAGAGGTTGCTTCCTCCTTTTGACTTCTTTACCTTCTCTGCTCTTCCTTTTTGATGAACTTGTTGCATTTAAGACATCTTGTTGTGCGAAAGGTCTCTCTTGGTGTCCTTCTGTCTTCCACTTGGATGCATAACCCTTTTCTGTGTTAGATATTTGATACACAGGAGCAATTAGCAGCATTCTGTGAGGATTTCCCATCTGGAACAGCCAGTCTATTTCCTGACCAGGATACCACGTGTGCTTCTTTTGCTTACAATCACGCAGTATAACAGGAACATTTTTTCTTCTTTTTTAATAATCTGTCCCAATTTTTGAGTTCTACATAGTTCTTAAATATACAAACAACTCCCTCCTGACAAGTCCAGTGAATGCAGGTTTCAGTGCGTTTATCTGCATTCTCTTCCTCAGTCTCAGAGTGCTCAGATGTAAGCTGTGCCCTTGCTCTTCCCAAGTTCCCAATGCAAAAGTGCGTGTGACTGTTTCCATGGCCTGGTTTTGCTTCTCAAAATTACTTCTTCTTTCTCAGACCCTTTTTTTTTTTATTATTTTTTTTGCAGCCTAAGGTGGAAATGCAATTCATCATATTCTGCCCTCAACAGCTACTTCTCAACTTCTGCATTTCCTGTCACAGCTTCCTAACCACGCGTTAGGGGTTTGACTGCCCTTTTAGCCTCTTGTTAGATAGCTGGGGCTGGCTGTTTCTCCATCCTTCTGGTTCGTGTAATCTTCCCCTCTCTCAGTTGTTTCTTCTTGATGGCAGCAGCGTTTCAGGGGATGGACCTTCCTAGACAGCGAAGGGCTGGTGAACAGTTGCCTTTTTAATCCTTGTGAAGGCTTTGGTCCTGCAAGCTGGCCATGCTTATTGTTATGGATCACCATTGACAAGTGCGTTGATGGGAGCTTGATTCTTTCAATATTAAATTATTTCAACCAATTTCTTGTAAGCCGTTGATGACAGCTTCCTTCTCTATGGGCTGATAACTATCTCCAAGTTATCTCTTTGAAAGGAAGTTCATCTTGCTAAATAATTTCGGTGAGCAGTGTGAAGCTGTAGCTTGCTGCCTGAAACCCTGTGGAGAAAGATTGTCTGGTGGCTGTGGGAAGCTTGCTGTGCTGGCTTGTGGGCAAGCAAGATGTATGTAAGTGTGCAAGCATATGGCTCTGCCTAGTTCAGTTTCCAGGTTACTAAGAATTTTGAAGACAGAAATGGATTCTCGTTGAAATTGCTTGGTTTTTATTTTTTGTTCTTTAGAGATGAACTTTTCAGACAAGGAAAGGAGAAGGATGAAATTGATGTCCTCAGACTGTATTTTTGCATTAAGCATGCCCTATAAACAGTTATAATTGGCTTTTATGGATTCAGGGGAATAGCTGATGTGAATCGCTCTGAAATTGGATGGCTTTTATTTATAGGTCTTTATCCTGTTCTCATTGCCATAGAGCATCTCGTGGGCATTCATTTCAGGACAGGCACAGTTCATGCGGTGCTGTCTGTAGATTTACAGCTCTCCGGTCACTTGATGACTTATGAAATTCCCTTAATTGTCAGTCCAGCTGTCTGCTAGCTGTTTGTTTTGGCCTTCGGTTATGCAGCCACTTTTGAGACACAAGACAGCAGCCTTCACCTTCCTCTCTAGAGCAGAGCAGTTGTCCTTCAGAGCACCGTGGGGGCAGAAGGGGGTGGGAAAGGCAGGGCTGCTGTGCTCCAGAAGGTGCAGGTACCAGGGGCTGCTTGGAGCAGGTCAGCACCCTTTGTTTATCCCATACTGCAAAAAGAATTCTTTTTTTTTTTTTTTTTTTTTTCCTCCTCTGTGTGTAGTGGCTTTTTTTGTTTGCCTGGTTTTGGTTCTAGGTGGGAGGGGAGAGCTCTGTCTGTCTGCGAGAAGGAAGACTTGTGCCCAAGAGAAGGGCCCTGGGAGCACGCAGCTGGGTTACAGCAGGTGGGCGCGGTGGTCTCCTTATCACCAAAAGCAGGGGAATAAAAACACCTTGTTCATAAGCGCCCCTCAGTCAGAGCTCTGCTAGGGTGATCTGAAGAAACTGGCCTCTTTGTGTCCTCCCCACGCCTGGGATTCTCTGACTCTGCTCCCAAGGTCTGTGCTGTATTTCCTGCCTTGCAGGTGGTGGGGTTTTCCCTTCTAGAGATCTCATTTCAATGGAAAAGAATGGAAACGTATTTTGTCTGGGTGCTTTCTTGGCAACTCCTAAGATAGTGGACAGAAAGAAATCGCAATGGATCTAACTTGATATAACCTTTGCTTGGTGACTTAAACAAAAAAAAATGCTCACCATTGTTTAATAAAATCTAACCTTCTAAAAGGGAATAGGTTATTTTGCTGGGACTGGTGGTGTGTGTGCACTGTCGTTCATACTTGTTTACGTGTCAGTTTTCAGTTAATTTGGCTGTTTGTATCTCTAAGCGATGAACCATCTCTGAATCTACCTTGCTGTTAAACTGCAGAAGCCTCACTCCAACAGACCCGGGGTATCTCTATTGCTCGCTCTGTAGCTAAGGGTGGGCACAGCAGTCACGTCGTCAGCTCTAAGGACGAGCAGCGTGAAAGCAGCCTGGCTAAAGCAGAGAATCACTGGTAAAAGATGCCTGCCTCAAAATCCTTTGTGAGCCTTGTTCTCTAAGGCCCTGGATGTTGTTGGGTAACGTCAGTCACCAGGCTAGCATCAAATCTGTGTCGTCGTGTTGATGCAAGCAGTGAAAAACAGCTCTTGAGCTCTTTGTAGCTTTCCAAAAGACCTCTGATAACTATGTGGAGCGGGAAATAATAGATTGAAACTTGCCTTTATAAATTAATTTTATGCACAGAACAAAAGCTGTAATTCCTTTTAAGTGCTGTCTTTCCTCTGCCTAATACTTATCTTTCTGGAAGTGAGGATGCTGGGCAGGCAGTCTGCCTCTCGCAGCTCACTTGTCTTCCCTACCCTCAGGGACGCAATATGCTCTTATGGAAGGGAGCGACTGACCCAGAAAGAGAGGCTATGCTGCATACATTGTTCTAAAATGCAGGGTTTTAAAAAAAAA